ACATAGAATTACCAATATAAATACACCTAAAATTATGAAGCACTATTGGTGTCACATATAGAATTAAAAGACACCATAAGTTGACACTTAAACAGTTAAACTCGAAACTCCAGAATTTAACAAATAGATAACGAAGGGCCATATTTGCCCATGTAAAATTCCGAATACAAAGGACCATATCTTCACATGTAAAATAACGAAGAACACCTAGAATTAGGAAGATCTATAGGTGTCACACAAAAGAATTAAATGCACCACTAAAACTCGAAACTGCATTTATATGACATAAAAAATTGAAGCGGAATGGTTCTATTCCTAGTTGGATTGAATCCAAGTGTAGTTTAACTGTTCTCAAGATCGAACAAATACATACAATTTGATTTTTATTTATTTTTTATTTACTTTCAAGGGACCGATAGAAAAAAAAGGCAACCAATGGGCAGTGGATTAACCTGTCAGAACACGATCAATTTTGCTGAATTTACGAGAAAACGGGTATTATAACAATCTGTTTATGGAAGATTTAGACATTTGATGAAAACTGCAAAAATTATTTATGCTTTGAGATTAATAGCATACACACAATCAAGAGTTCAACTTGTTGCAAATATTTGTCCAAAAACACACAAAACAGAGTAACAACTCATGAGAAAACAAAAACATGCAGAAACAATAAAACCATCATTTACCATAGCAATGCACTCTGTAACTTTACATATATTTTCCCCCAACAAAAACAGAACTATCAAGATTCTCNTTTTTAAGAATAAAGATCCAATCTTTATCTATTCCTGCAATTAGCATCATTTCCTAATTAAATACCATTCAAGTTTCCTACCAATAAAAATCAAATCTTTGTTCTCCTCCTCAACATTCTTTCCTAATTGAATACCACCATTCACGCATTGAATACAAATTGAATACAATAACTGCAAAAATATTGCCTTTTACCAATCAATGGAAAAGGCATATCACGAGTTTGTGCGTGAATCTAACATGATTGAAACAAAGATCGAAGCGAATCTTTCCCAACAGAAGGTGTGCGAGATCTCGTGTTAAATTCACGCACAAACATGAAATATGCCTCATCTGGAGCTTTTCAGGAATGACAGCGGCAGTTACGAATTTGAAACCCTAAAGAGTGCCTCGTTGTAAGTGTGTCCTGTCTGGCAGTTCTCCTCCTCGTTATAAATATCATTGTTTTTAGGAAAAACTAGAAAAAGTAAAATCACACACGACTTGGTAATAACAAAGCCAACTACCAATACAAAAACCAATGTACTTCATTTTATTTTATTGTGTCATTTCTCATATTTTTTTTTTGCTTTTGTTTTTAGTATTTAAGGGGCGATTCACAAATTTTAGTTCACCATGTAATATTTTTTACGTCTCTTAACTCAAAATTCAACTCAATTTTAATTTAATTCTAACTCTCACCAATATTATCAGTATATTTAAATTATACTAATCAACTATTCTCACATATCACATCAACTTTAATTCACTATTCATTTATTCACGAATGTTTAACAACATATCATTTTCACATATTCCATATTTCTACATCAAATCAATTTTAATCATTGCATTTTAAATATTATTTAAATAAAAACTAAATATTACGATTGTATTATAAAATTAAATATATAAATAACATTAATCATGATTTATCTATTATTTTTAAATTAAACCGGGTTGGACACAGTCCGATCGGATGGACCGAGAACCGGTTATAACACTCTAGTTCGCTTGAATAAAATATTTGTTCTCGAAACCGTCAACACCAGTCGGTTGGACTGGTAGGATCGATACGATTTTCTAAATAAATTTTGTTATATTTAAAATTATTTTAAATAAAATTACATATTTAAATAAAATAGAGATTTAAAAATTATTTATCAATTAGTTTAAACATTTAAATTTATAAATTATTTAGATATCTAAGTAACACATTTTATTTAAATTTATTACAAAAAGTACTATATATATGTGTATCTATTAAAATGTTTATAAATTAAAATCTGAACAAACCACAAATAATTTAATAAAATAGCTTCATCACTTCGATGACGATCCGATTCTGAAAACCTTATATTTACTGTACATTTATAAATTATATAATAAAACTAATATAATTTACATAAATATTAATAAAATGATATATAAATATTTATAAATCATTAAAGATGTTGTCATAAAAGTATTGTTAATACGATTATGTGAATTTTGGACTACATCACATTCACGTAATAAAATATTTTCAATATAAAATTTATATTTCAGTTCAATAATCAATTTGACGTGGTTGAACTGATACATAACTTAGTCATCTGGGACCAACCAAGTTGTGTCATATTTTTTTGACTATTTTGAATATCATCTAAAAGTAATTCAATCAACCTAGACAATACCCTTATTCAATCACCCGATTGATCCGAAGAAAATTTTTTATTTTGTTTAAATATATTTAATTTTATGAAATAAAAATATTTTATGATTCATATAATAAATGTCGACACCAAATGGTAGTATATTAAGATTATAAATTATATATCTAAAGATATATTAATTATTTTTACTTTATGCATATTAATAAAAAATAAACATAGTAATTTTCAAAAAATGAAGATTAATTAATTTATTATGCAATTTAAAGAATATTTTAAGCGTTCAATATTTTTTTAAAGGCACAAATATAAAGACCGAGATTTTAAAACTTTTGTTATATCTTGAATTGAGATTTTATAAATATAAGAGATTTTAATGTTGTTCGTTGTTTTGAAAAAATAAATAAAAATAAAAACATGCACACTTAGAAAAAACATACACACTTAATAAAAATAATAAAATTAACTAATGCCTGAAATTTAAGGTAGTATTTAATGCTGAATGATTTTTAAAGAAGAAAATAAGAAAATAACAACTCACTATTTAGAGGCTGCATTAAATTCTGACCTATTTTTTGCTACTATTTTTAGTAAATGGTAATTCTTATTATATATACTAGTGTAGAGCCCGTGCGATGCACGGGGTATATAAGTTTAAGGCTATTTATCCAGACTTATAATTCTTATATGCATGAATAAAGAAAAATGTACGGGATATATATAGTACGTGACCAGTGCGAGGCACGAGATATATTTATTTGGGGAATTTTATATTATAAGATGCAATATTACATAAAAAATTTATAATACGTAGGAAAATTATACAATAAGATAGTATTGGAGAAATAAACAATCATTTATTATTAAAAACCTCCTTGTATACAACATTATGAGTTTGATTATTGGACAACTCTTCATTCTCACAAACTAATATCTTCAACCCTCTTCTATTAGTTATACGCGAAACAACAACATATAATTGGTCATGACTAAAGACATGTTTCTTTAGAAAAAAACCAACGTGCGATAAAGACTGTCTCTGACTCTTGTTTATGGTCATGGCATACGAAACCATAAGTGGGAATTGCCACCGCTGGAACTTAAATGGAACCCTAAGATCAGAAGGAGTAATATTCATTCTAGGAATAGGATTTTAAGAACAATTTAAATTTTATATAACATTTTCAAAAAATTAATATATGTAAATTGTTTTGCATATTAATTCTAATTTTAATTTATAAATATTATTTAATGCACAATTTTAATTACCATGCATGTCGCTACATTCTAGTAATATTTAACATCTGTTAAGATTTTTAAGAAAAAATTTTGATATACGGAAATCACATTATATGTAGAGGAACAAAACAGAAGATTTTTCATACAATTAGATAAGATTTTTTGTACAAAGATAGGAATGAACTTTAAATCTACACAAACTATAAATATTAGATGTATTGATTTACGTAAATTAATATCTATATAGGAAAAAACAATTAAATAAAAATTAATTGATGAAAATAGAATGCATTAATTACCTTTGACTTTTCTTCCTACTAATTCTAGTAAATGGAATGGCTCTTTATATAAGTATAGATTCGTAATCTCACTCAACCTTCCGCTCAATCTACTTTATTTTAAATAACTTCAAGATAAGGATGTGGATTAATGGCAAATAGCAATGAAATCTAAGATGAAATCAATGGACTCGATTCAAGTCTAAGAATTTGTAGAACCACCCAAATGCACAAAAGCTAAGCAGTGCCACGTTGTAGGTTCAGGGATCCGATTCTTGTTTACTAGGAATCAAATTCAAGGACTTTCTCGAGATCATGAATCTTTCGGGTTGTCAAATAACTCTCCCACTACGATGAGGTACTACTAGTAAAGGTGCATACATAAGTTAATATTAGACTTTTCAATAATTTAGAATCAATTATTCATTTTCTAACTCATCAATTTATACTACTAGTAAAGGTGCATACATAAGTTAATATTAGACTTTTCAATAATTTAGAATCAATTATTCATTTTCTAACTCATCAATTTACAAGGTCATTTTATTTCCAGATCATTTTGAAATTAAAAAAAAAAATGATGTTGTATAAAAAAGATAGTATTGGTAATTGTAGTATATAATAAAAAAAAAATATTATCTTTAATCAACGTAGGTGCAAATTATTCGACATAATTCTAATTTGATACATTTAAGAGTATCCACAATGTTTTGAGTGTATAAAAAAAAATAACAGAAATAGACTCGATCTAGAAAAACAAATGTTCTCCAATGCAAGTAAAAGTGGACAGAGTCCTACTGACGTGGTAGTAAGAGAAAAAAAATCAATTTACCCTCATGTCTGTTTTAAACCTAAATAGAGACTCGATCTTTTTGCATGTAATGAATTTGATTACTTGTGTTTAGTTCTATCCGTCATCTAGGAATTAGGTTCATCGAGCAAGAGTTCCACGATCTCGACCATTGGCAATAGAGGCATCAAAGCTTACCCTTTACTAGAAAGTAAGCAAAATGAGACCGAAAGCATTGTGAATGCTCTCTTATGTGAGAAATAGCGAATTAGATCAGCATCAACACGAGCACACAGATTTTATAAGATAAAACAAATAATTTAGACTAAAAATCTCTTGACCTGAATGTGGTGGTGTAAAAGAAACATCACCTCATCCTAATTACAGAGTAATACAGCAAATACAACTATTCTCTTTCATTTACATTTCAAATCTCAGTATCAACTTCCTTATCATCAATGGATCAATGTGACCACAAACTCAAAACCTATCCAAAACAAAAGATTCAGTAAATCTGGGTGGGTGTTGTAAGAACTTAAAAGCATCAAAATCAAAGAAGAACATTCGAAGGATTACAGCCGGTAGTGAAACTATGTCAGGAAATAGGTTTTAAATTCATGGATAATACAAGGATTCAAAACTGCAGATTATCTATATAATCAGATAAAAAAAAAGCCGTCTGTTACATACAAGGAAAAACACAAACCATCAAAACCAAAAGTACAAAAGCAAAACATTACTCGATCAAATATTATCAAAAGAGAACAGTTTTCTTACCAAGTTTTAGGTACGAGCATTCGTCAAGGTCAAACACTTCCTCTGCAGCCACGTCAAACGCTTTTCCACTCCAAGAGTCAAAAATGTCTCCCTCGCACAACGGTTCACAAAAAGATCCAAAGCAGCAAAATAAACTAAATCATCAATACCTTCAAGCTCGTCCAATGCCACAACACAGTCCGTAATCGAAAATCTGCCGTTGAACTTTTTTATGGCCTCTGCCCGAAGCTTGCTGGCTGCAGCCATCTCTAGTATGCCTCTTGCAATAGCATTCTCAATCCCTTTACGCCCTCTCTTTCGACTGGACACGTCAGCATATTTTTCCGACTCGGATGGAGAAAGCTCCTCTAGCTTCACAGTTGGGTAGCTAGGAGATGGAATTGCATCTTGGTCCTTTAATGACCCGTTTATTTCCTCGTGAGCCCTTGGCTCGGCAAATATTGTCCGCAGCTGGTTGTATATGGGACAGCCCGTACTCCTCACTGTTTCGGCATCCGGATGTTCCTGATAAGACGCACTATTAGAAACTTCCGCTCTTTCTTTTTTTTTTTTTTTTTTTTTACAAACGCACAATAAAAAATCGGAAAATTATAAAACAAAAATACATGGATATAATCAAGATGCTCAAAATGTCAACAAACCAAATAGGATATAAGTACAGAGATATGCACTTTGCATTAGCTGCAAATTATCACTCTACAATTAAGGGTGTGATTGGATATAAACTTGCGGAGTAAAAAAACCAATCAAAACTCGAATTGAATTAAACTTTAACCCAACTTCACTATCCTCAATATTATCAATATAAATATCAACCAATCTTTTTCTTACACATCACATCAACTTTAATTCACTATTCATTCACTCACATAATTTTAACTAACCATCACTTTCAATCATTTTTCTTCTACTTCACATCAAATAAACTTTAATTATTTTATTTTAAATATTATTTTAATTTAAACTTAAATTCTCACTAACAACTAACCATACCACATTTTTCAAAATTAACTATGGTTAACAAAAAAAAAACAATAAAAAACCAATCAAATCTATATCCAATCACACCCTAAAAATCTCGTCTAATTGACTAATTTATAGATGTTTTGTCATACCTTAATGTATCTATCCCATGCTTCATCGGTGGCTGTTACCGAACCAGTTATTTCGTCCAATTTGAAATCCGGATGGTTGAGTAGAAAATTCACATTGCTATACAGTTTTCTTAAGGTGACATAACGGCTCTTGAGCTGCTCGTTATCCCACCAGTAACCTGTCTGAATACGGAAGTTGTCACAAATGAATTTCCACCCTTTCCTACTAAATGACTTGTTCGATACGTTTCCTTTGTGAATCTGATCGACCATCAAGTCAGCCAATGTTTTGGTCAATTGTGCTGTCCACTTTGCACGTAATTGGGTTTCGGGCTGCTGTGACACTTGAGTTTTACGGGCACGAGTTGTTCGACTAGCCATCTACCAGTTAACAAAAGCCAAATAACAAATCATGATAATTAAGTAGCATATGTAGTTATGATAAATGAGCAACAGGTAACTAAACAAACCCACAATTTGCTCGGACAATGTTAAGATTTTTCTGTAATGTTTTTCCTCCCTCTTACTCCCGAAAACGTGTGAGCATTAATTCATGTACAAGATATTCATGATAGATATTACTATTTTAATTTGATATCCCATTTGATTGTGGACAGGTTTTACTACCATTGTTTGTGTCTTCTGATGTAAAATTCACAGGTTTTACAGCAAAAAGCTAAAGCTAAGCATATTGAAACGAAAAGACTAGATTTTGGTAAGATGGAAATTTCCACAGAAGGTAGCCAATAAGGAAAAACCAAAAAAGACTACATTGTAAAGAAAAGATTAATACATTTCATCAAATTATTTTGACAGGGGGTTCTCGACCCAGTTTACCTATTTCAAGAAGTCAATTGGATAATTCACAGAAACTCAAAATCAAACCCTTCTAATTAGAATCTGAAAATATCATATTTTTCCACAAAAGAGGAATCGAAAACAAGGAATGTCGTACCATAGGTAAATTTAAGTGCAAAATGAACGTACACAGCAAACCCGCACTTACAGATGCAAACAGTTGTTCATACACAATGTCGATCGCCTCGGACGATCAATATAATAGAACTTTTTTTACATTGTTTTTTTGCTATCGCTGAATAACGTACAGCAAAATAACTTTCACCCCTCTGGCGAAGGGTACAGATTTCATGACCCAATTGGAGATTGAATCTGCGTCTCGATTGGGGTTTCGTAGAAATTTGGCTTCATTTACTTTTTCCCCAATTTTCTTTGCTCAAATTATTTTAAACCCCCCTTTCTAATACTTGTTGAAGAAAACACAATATTTTAAAGTTTAAACTATACGGGATATTTCAATATAATTAGTTTTGGTCATTGTACTAAAACTCGGCTTAGGCGCCCGCTTCTGATTTGCATTAGTCGGCTGAAAGAATCGATCAGACGGCTAAGCGGGCCTAGGCGCTCTTAGGCTGGCCTAGGCGTTGGTCGAGCGCCTAGCGACTTTGATGCGGACGATGGTCGTCTTCTCAAAAATGCGTACAACCACGGCCGACGAGCTCGTTTTAAGAAGGCCCGGACTGATGAAGTTTCAGACCTCGCGCCACGACGATCCATCACGTCGTGACACCTGCTCATCGCGGGACACGCCACGAGGTTCCTCACGCCCGGATTGAAGCTAAAGGTCAGCCGACCGTTGCGCCGCGAGGGCGCCCAGGTCTTCACGTCACGAGCAACTCAAAGGAGGGCCATGATCCGTTTGATATTGTAATGCAATAAATGACAAAAAATGTTTGTTTCCGAGCACAAAATCGTGTCAAAATCAAGGACGTTAATGCGGGTTTTGATACAAAATTCGATAATTGATATAGGATTTGCAACATTGGTGCTTTCATTGAGAGGTAGTAATCGTGTATCACCATGACGAATTGAGAGAGGATGGACAATATGGAGGATATCATGCAGACCATGAATGAGGAAATTCAATCCACGAATCAGGCGGTGGCGAGACTTGAGCGAATGATGCTTCGAATGGTCGGAAGACGAGCACGGAGAGGTAACCCTTCTGATTCATCTTTGGAAGGTTCAGCCGATTCGGAGGGAAACGTGAAGTTCAGAATGAATTTGCGATGGGAAGATGACGACCGATCAAGGGGCTCGAATCATCGAGATATGCAATGAGTTGAGAGGCAAAATACGATCCTTCCTACATTCGATAGAACAAATCTGGATTCGTGGTTAAATTGCGCTTGTCAATACTTTGAGATCAACGAAATACCCAAATCTGAAAGAGTGAAAAAAATGTCGCCTATTATCTTGACGGTGAAGCAAACGTGTGGTGGCAATTTCTATATAGGGTGTACAAAAAGGAAATCAAGCATATTCATTGGAAGAACTTTGAAAATGAGATGATTATCCGATTTGGAGTGTCGGATTTTCATGATTATGATGAAGCTCTTTCACATATCAAACAATTGGGGAGTCTACGAGAATATCAAAAGGAGTTTGAATATATCGAGAGTCGAGATCGAGTTTGGCCAAAAAAGCACTTTTTGGCACGTTTATAGGGGGGTTTGAAACTCGATTTGGCGACTGGAGTACGTTTGGACAAGCCGAGACCCATGCGTGCACCAATGAAGGTCGCCTGATGAGTGACGATCATTTGACAGCAATGCGTAAGGTCAACCGATCGGAGATTAGACGATCAACACCTTTGTTTTAACACTAATTTGCAAAAGACCAGATACATTACATTGAACAACAATGTAAAGCCCATTCCTTTGGGGGTTAAACGCTTACCTTGGGACGAGATGCAGAAGCGGCAAGAAAGAGACTTATGTTTCAATTGTGACGAGAAGTTCACGCCGGGTCACCAGTGCAAAGAAAGGCGATTGTTCTTAATTGAATATGTTTGTTCTGATGAAAATGAGATAGTGGAGGATGAACTGAAAAATGATATTGATTATCACGAAGAGGATCCCCAGATATAGGTCCATACAATGGCGAGAACTCAAGGGCCTAAGACAATGAAGATGTCGGCTTCAGTTCGTGATCGGCGTGTAGTAGTGTTAATTGACAATGGTTCATCCCATAACTTTATTAGTTCTTCGTTGTTCGATAAATTGAAATTGCATGTGATAAAGGTGGATCCCTTTGAAGTGACAGTTGCAAATGGGGGATGGTTAAGATGTTCGGAGTTCTATCGAGGTGAACGGGGACTTCTAAGAATAACATTTCTCATATTTTTACATCACATTGATTTTAATCATTATACTCTAAATATTATTTAACTACAAACTTAAATTTCATTCAATCCTCCACAATCAATTTTATATAAAACAAACTCACTTTTAACCCAAAATTCAATCAAAATCTATTTTGATTCTATCTAGTCGCCCCATATATCCTCAACATGCATATTAATTGAGAGTGAATGCCACGATAAAAGAATTTGAGTCAAAACAACAAAAGTGAAGTTTCAAAGTTATAGTTGTGTGAAATAAAAATACATGTGAGCTTTCGGTGCCCGATTTGTTGACAACATGTGATAAAGACCGTGTATCGTGAATTCGAGTTTGTGAAAACCCGCACTGACGATCATCGGTTAACACAAGATTTTGGTGCTCGAACGAGCAGTTTATGTTTTCTTATTCCATGACCTTTTACTAACTGATACGAACCAAGTTGGTCGTATCAGGATAAGGTACTCTTCGTGTGAGTACGAAATCTAATATTCGTGCTTCGAGTGAACGAGGATTTCTAAGAAGTCGTCGGCTACTCAATTCATAATACTTTTTCATGTATCAAATGGCTAAAGAGCTTACATATTTATAGCCAAAGATTTCAAACTCTAATAATTAATTAATTACTAAATAATCCTATAATATTAACTTAATATGTATCATTCCATACTCCTTCAAAAGCACCTTGTTCTCAAGGTGTAGCTAATAAGCACCTAAATAAATAAAACAAATTACTATTACTAAGAACATTATAAATCTCTCAGACCCTACCACACAACACAAATTGATGTGCTAATTCCAAATTATCTCAAGACCCAAGCTTGCAGGCCCATTTGTTGGTCCAATTTCTAGTGGCCCAAGTCCAAGATTTCAAGGTTTCTCACTCCAGAACCAACTCTTCTATTATGTTGTGAAAAAATCACAGAGATGTCATCAATGGAGTCGAGCGGTTCCACCGCCTTGAAGACCTTCGTCTTCTCCGCCTGGGACGACCCGTTGTTTTTTCAGGATTCGATGAGACCAAACAGTCTCCCGAACATCACCCCTAGTCGACCTCCAACGACCTTTATATTTGTCAATTCGTCGTGGCCACGCATTCTCATAGCCCTCATCGTCGTGAACCACAATCCGACTGGACCACGCTTCGTCTACATAGCCGTGCGGAACCATCACCGTCTTGTCGATCTGTCGGGACCAAGCCGTGTCGTCAACTCTGTTCCATCGATGGAATTGACAAGTATCAATAGCTGCTCTCTTATTGCGATCTACGACAATACATCTCCCGTTAATTCCAATATCTTGGATGAATTCTTAGCCTCAACAATCTTCTCTTCAATGACTTCAGGTGCCCTACATGTAAAGCCATGGCCATGCTGCAAAAAATCTCCATTGACATTTTTTGCAGATAAGATTTCTTGCAGTTCGATTGTGATAAAATAAACATATTCTTGATTGTTTCCCTCATCAATTTTCCCGGTAAAGGCTGAAGATGCTTGACCATCAAATGGGTGAATACCAACACTGGATAAAAACCCTTTAAAAACTGACCAAGCTTTCTTTGGTTCCACATTAGGACATTCCTTTACTGGTTCGAAGTCTTCCTCATCTTCACCCACGTTCAATAAGGGATAATAATCACCATATTCATCCGTCTCATGGTCTCCTCATAAGAAAAAAAGGCGGACCCTCATACGCGGTTGGCTCCTGCTTATCCAAACTCGAACGACTTCTAGGTCCCCAAAAAACTCGGGGATCTCGTACAAGAACTATGACGCCCAACGTCGATCGTTGGCAAATCGGCCCTTGTCCCGCTGGTTCGATCCCCTCGACCGGTTGTCTTCGCCATCTGTAAATTCGCTATGAAATTCTGGCCCCTTCTCGGATTTAGTGGATCCGTCTGGAGGCGAATCCGAATTGCCCCTTCGCGTGTATAACGACAAATCTGAATAACCCTTGGCGTGTGTCAGGCGACCCTTTGGAGCAGCATCCTTTCGGTCTGCACGACGACTCGGTTCGTCGATTATATGTCCTTATTGATGGAATGTACGCTCTCCTCAAATCGATAGATCCGTTCTCTGTTTGACATGATGATACACGACTGGTTCTCTCATTGAAAGCACCAATGATAAAAACTGTGTATCGAGAATTCGGATTTGTGAAAACCCCAACTGACGGTCGTCGATTTAGCACAAGATTTTGGCACTCGAACAAACAGTTTTTTATTTTTTATTTCATAATATTTTGCGGATTGATACGAACCGGATTGACCGTAATCGGGATAAGGTACTCTTTGAGTGAGTACGAACTCCAATATACGTTCTTCCAGTGAACGAGGGCTTACAAGAAGCCGACGGCTACTCAATTTATAATATTTTTTCATATATCAATGGACCGAAAGGACTTGCATATTTATAACCAAAGACTTCAAACTCGAATCATTAATTAATTGCTAAAAATCTTATAGCATTAACCTAAACGTATCAACATGTTTCAAGTTGCAATAAAATTCATGTGTTTTATAGTTAAAATTTCAAGATGGAGATTTAATTACAAAAGAAATACACTTTATTACGATTTAATTATCAATTTTATTAGCTTTTAAAATAATATTTGTGTAATTTATTTGGAAGGCGAGAGAAAGTGCGTGAAGAGAGAGAAAGCAAGGGAACGGAGAGAGAGTGGAACGGTTCAACGGCAGCGTTTTCCGGCTACAGAGCAATGTCGCCCACCCATTTCCATCCTCTTTCTCTCTCACACACACACTAAGTGCCGCACAAATTTCTCACATCCGATTCAAGTATCACCTTATTTCTTTCGCTGTTTTCTCTCTCTAGATCTCGATCCCCCATTTTCTCTCTTTTTTTTTTTTCCCTTTCCCCTGGTGCGTACATTTGCCGATATCGAGGTTAGGGTTTGGTAATTGTTGGTTATCTCGCATCCCGGAGAAACGAGCTGTGGATTTTTTTCGTTTTCTCTTCAGGTCGTTTGCGATGTTCGTTTGTGCTTGATTGGGTGGTCTGACGAATTGCGCATTTGCGTCAGGTCTTCCAGAGAAGATCTGAGTAGCGTGTAGAGAGAGAGAGAGGGTTGGAGGAGGAGGAGGAAGCGAAAGGGGTAAAAGACAGCGAGTGTGTGAGAGAAAAGAGGAGAAAAAGGGGTGTAATTTCAGTTGGATTAAGGATGAGCGCTTCGAGATTCATAAAGTGCGTGACGGTGGGGGACGGTGCTGTTGGCAAGACCTGTCTCTTGATTTCATACACCAGCAATACCTTCCCGACGGTCAGCATTTTTTCTTTTTTCTTTCTTTTTTTTTTCTTGCCTAATTTATCATGCTTAAAATGTGTGTGTTTGTTTTAAATGTAATGGGAGCTTTGAAACAATTAGCGGAATTTGGAACCTTTGTCTTCTGTTTCTTTTTTTTCCTTACATTAAGATTGTGCCATCGTGATAAATTGGGAACGATCAAGCCAATTCAATTCAGATGTGCGGTTAGTTCAAATCACATGCATTAGCCTATGAGGTTCTCTCTTTTTCTTATGTCAATTTTGGTCTGGAAGTTGTCTAGACATTGGAGTTCCGATAGGGTATTTCTTGATTAGTTGTTGATAATACTTGTGCTCGTATGTGCAATAGGTACCACACACTAAATATGTTACTTCAATTGGATATCATACTATCACCTTACTGATTAATGTTTTTTGTACATTTGTAAATATAACAGGATTATGTGCCGACTGTATTTGATAACTTCAGTGCAAATGTGGTTGTTAACGGGAACACTGTTAACCTAGGCTTATGGGATACTGCTGGTACTTTTTTTTTGTAACATCCATCATGCTTATTTTCCTTTTTTTTTGTCCTTCGCTTTTAATCTATACTCTGTTTTTATGGAACAGGACAGGAGGACTACAACAGATTAAGGCCATTGAGTTATCGTGGTGCTGATGTTTTTATTTTGGCATTTTCTCTCATTAGCAAGGCCAGCTATGAAAATGTTTCCAAGAAGGTAATTGTTTGATTGCTCTTTTAAGTCCTATTTTTGAGTTTCTTTCTTTCTTTCTTTCTTTCTTATTTTCTGTCAGGATTGCTTGTCTTATGAATTCTTTATGTTTTCTCTCATTTGGGCAGTGGATTCCTGAGTTGAAGCACTATGCCCCTGGAGTTCCTATTGTTCTTGTCGGCACAAAACTCGGTGAGTTCTTTGATTAAGATTTTTGAGATATATGAGCCTGCTTTTAATGCTAAGATATGCTTTCCGTATCGTCTTTACAAAAGCACATGTTGAGTTTGATTCTTGAAGAAATCTTCCCTTCTGCTATTGTTGTAGAAAGTGTTGAGTGCATGCCCTAGATTCAGTATCGTATATGACAGCGTTTATCATTTGCAAGCTGTGCGATATAATCGTTCAGTTGGAATTACAAGTGGTTTGGAAACATTTCTTTTGGTATGTGTTTGTGTTTCTGTAGCATGGTTTTTACTACCAAGGATTTGTAATCTCTTCATTCTTGATTATTGGTGAAGATAATAGCTGTCTCCTGGCTTTTATAAGTGCAGGACTGCAAATTAATGTTTTTCTGTAAAATCTTGCAATAAGTTTGTTATTCTCTCCTCTAAGTTGAGTACAGGAGAGAACACTTTGATACAAAACAAAATACAAAGAAAGTTGCCATTGGTATTTCTGTTGGCTGCAGATGAAGTCTCTTTGGAACTGTAATTTACTCGATATAGTGAAATTGCAAAAACAATGTTTCTGTCCTTTTATGATAATGATTTGGTGGATTCAGATCTAAGGGATGATAAGCAGTTCTTCTTGGACCATCCAGGTGCTGTACCAATCACTACTGCACAGGTTGAACTCTATTTGCTCGACTTACGTTGCCCTTTGTTTTTGTCATTTCTTTTTGTCTTTTTGTTAGGAGAATCTGTATAATGGTTTTCTTCGTTTTTCTGAACCTTCATATGCCGTCTCTCAAATGCTCAGGGGGAGGAGCTGAGAAAGTTGATTGGGTCACCTGCTTACATCGAGTGTAGTTCAAAAACACAAGAGGTCAGTAGAATTCGACTTTTTTAAGGACTCTGTTTTTCTTTGACAATCACTTTGTTTCTAGTGTTGATTTTCCAACCTCAAACCATTTTCTTATTTATTATTATTATTATTATTATTATTATTATTATTATTATTATTATTATTATTATTATTATTATGGAGCTGGAAGAGTCATTGTTGACAATTCTCCTGGAATAGTGCTAATAATGGAATAGTGCTAATAATGGACTAGATCAAAATGGCTCAATTAAATTCTAGTGCTTCTTCTATTAGTGAAGTTTCTAGAAAAAATATATCAAACGGCGCAATGCACCTTGGGTCGCTACGGAAACAGCCTCCTTGTATAATTACAAGGGTAAGGTCTGCGTACAACTGACCCCCCAGACCCCAACATGTTGGGAATATACTGGGTATGTTGTTGTTGTTGTATTATTATTATTTTTTTTTTTTGGATTACTACAGAATGTGAAAGCAGTGTTTGATGCTGCCATTAAAGTCGTGCTGCAACCACCCAAGGAGAAGAAAAAGAAGAGCAAGGCTCAAAAGGCTTGCTCGATATTGTGATCACGAAATAGGTCCTCATGATTATACTCACATGAGTCAACTGCTCACTATTGTGGTTCTCCCTTCTTAAATTTCTATTTTTCACTTTGCTCTCTCGTTTCCGTTTTTACCCAAGAATAAGTGTGAGAGTGGCCTTTGAGGATGCATTAGTGTTACTCTGTGGCTTTAAATTCTGTCTCGAGCTTTCTATGACCAAATTAGGCCAGTTGGTTATTTTGATTTGTGTTTTTACTTTTTATTTTTTTCTTATTTTTTTCGGTTTATTAATCAGACTATGATTCGTGTTGTTGGCTAATGTTAAGAATATCTTACCTTCAGACTACTGACTCGGATTTTATTTATGATAATATGGTTGATTGTAACTATTCTATTGGGTTATCTTATTGCAAAAACACTGATGAAACTCAAGTACCTTTATATTTGCTGTCCGCATACAATTTTTGTCTTAGAAGAAAATTTGTGTGGGCCATTTTTTATATTTTGAAAATGGTTGCCTAATTTGTTATCAATGACCTGTGGCTGTGCTTAATTATGTATGTTCAATTTCATTTTTACATTCTCTTCTGCACATCACAGGTGTGAGCAATATTTTTTTCAGGTCTTGATAAAAGAAAGGACAAAAAAAAAGTAAAAAAAAATAACAAAGATTCACTGATATATAAATGTTCCACTGTTCTGGTTTTCTTGGTTTATTTCCCGTTTTTCTTAACTTTTAGATTTGATTTTCAGAAAGATCCTCTTTTCATTACGATTTGCTGCTTATTCTAAGTCTAGATGTTTAATCTTTATTTTATTTTTTAGTTTTATAAGTGTTTTACATTCTATGTATAAGAAACAAACATGTTTTTATTATCTTTTCATCTTTTGAATATAAATTAAAAGATGTTAAAAACGTTATACGGATGCATAAATCGCCACTTATGACTTAGGCTATGTTTGGTACACCAATAAGCTAGCTTATAGTTTATTTGGTTAGCTTATAAGCTCTCTGTATTCAAATAAGCTTCGTTTGGTAGGACGAACTTATTTAAAAAGCTCGAGCTTATTTGATGAGCTTCTTTGGATAGCTTTTCAAATAAGCCTGTTAAAATTTTTATTTCAGCTAGCTTATCAGCTAATTTTACCAAACACTTTTATCATATAAGCTAGCTTTTCAGCTATAAGTCATAAGCTCTAAGTTATAAGCTCGAAAATTACTGATAAGCTATCAGCTAACTTATCAGCTAGTTTTACCAAATATAGCCTTAACCAATCGACATGTGACGAACTTGGAAAATGCCTAGAGGAGAAGAAGCATAGCTCGATTATTATAACACTGAGATATTCATATATTATTGCATTTTATTCGTACCTCACTTTTTGTTTAACATCTTCATTCGAACAAATTTTTCGTACTCATTTCACATTATTTTCTTTGAAAATCTGAAAATCGAATTATCACTTTCCACAGAAAGACCTTCCACAGACGTAGAGAATACACGAAAGTGTCACTCCCATTTCTCATCTAAAACCCAAAATTAACCTTCACAATGTCCCTTGACCTCTCGAACGAACCCATTGGTCTCCAAAAAAATTTCTTCGAGGAAAAATCAGATCAGAATTAGCTTATACTTTTCCCCCACAGCACCACCTTTGTCCTTCTGAAACTGTATGTACTGTAATGTGCTTGCAAAGAAAGCATCTGCAGCTTGATCAGAAGGCATGTTGTTGTTATCACCCAACATCTCGTTTCTGATCAATTCAACCAGGCTCTTGATCGACTCCACAGTGATTTGTGGGACCCCCTTCTCATAAAAGTAAAGATACCTAACAGTAAAAGCAAAAAAAAAAAAAAAAGATAATAAGCTTTTATCGAGAATTAGTAGAAGGTCAACAAAAACGAGATGTGGACCCCACTTGTTCAGTATCTCTACAAGGAGTAGGACAGATCCACTGTTGCCTCTGGTTGCATTCGCCATTTGTTGAATGGCATTCGCGATTCTCAGAGCACGCTTTAAGCAAAGCAGGACCCTAGATGGAAAACCGCATATTAAGAAAAAATAAAAAATAAAATAAAATTGCAACATAGAAGCTTATTATAATATGTATCCAAACAGCCAAACACACCTCTCACCATCTCTGATACTGTCATGTTCGTCAAGCCAGAACAGATGAGAACATGCATAAACAGCTCTACATTGTCAGGCTTCTTCAACAGCTTTGCAGAATACTAGGTACAGAAAAAAAGATGAAAACACGATAAGTCAATGTTTGTGGTAAACCGTAAATAGACCTGCTACAAACGACTCGACAAACCCATATTTCATGTTTTGACCACAAAGCGTACAATAATTTACCCCAGTGGCTTTGTGTGTCAAAGCATCTCTATTCTCAACACCAAATACATGCATCCTCTGAAGAGTCCCTATTATTAGGTGTAAAGAGGTCACCTGAGCTTTCGAATCCTACAAGCCACAATTCAAGCAAAAGTTGAAAAACTAAAACGTTTTTATGTAGACATGTAACAGACTAACAGTTTTGTCCATATAACCAGTAAGATAACCGGATAATTGGGTACATACCGTACTTTCTTCTTCATACAAGATATAAGCTTGTGTGAAGAACTCATACGCTACAGGTTCTAGGTCGAAGTTATCTGCAGCCTGAGATTTAGCAATTTAGCAATCAACAGTTTGAGAAAATATGGATATCACAAAGTAAAGGTTACTGGTTAAGGAAGGAGTACCTCCGCACACTGCAGGTACAATCCTAGAGCCAGTTCAGGCACTGGAATACTCCCCGGAAAAATCGGGGCTAGCCTGTTATACAATGACTGCAATCCGATCGATTTTCCCAGTAACTTGGACAAAGTATCAATGGTCTACAATAATAAGGTGAAATTATCACCAACTTTACTGAAAAAAATCTATGAGGAAAATTTAATCAAGTGAACAATCAGAGCACAACTATTATTGAACATTGCATAAAGAGAATATCTATATCGACCTATATTTCATCAATAAAAGACAGAAACGATTAACTAAAACAGATAGCATAAAGCTACCAATACTGTTGCAAAGTAAAATCATACCTGGGTCACTAACTGAAAGATCTTCTTTGGTATGGCTGATGCCTCGTCACCAGATACACCTTCATTTCTATCCTCAAGTCGCCGTACAAGCTGGAAAAAAACAATTCAGAAGAAAAACTTTAAACATAATAACACATCTAGATACTACCTAATGCAAGTTCGTTTTAGTAAATTAGCATGAAAAATACAGACACGCAATGGTGAGAATACATCATGTTTTTTCAAGCAACACGGCAATCCTGAATCCTCACAGTAAAATATGCAAGTACTAGCATTCTGCAACCAATTTAAAACACCTATCGTCCTAGAAAGTTTTAGGACGTGTAGATACACATCGAAATGAACGCATAGGAAATCGATGGGATTCCCTTCTTTCTTTGTCTGATTCGAGGGAAAGTGGCCTGTTGGGTTCCTAAGAAGCCTTTACACTGACTTTTGACTCTTACCGCAAGAATGAATCAGAATCTTTAAACAGAGAAAATGAAAACAACTGAGTTCTCCACCTCCACACTAACATAATGCATTGTTTATAAAAATTGCAGGAAACTGCATCTACCGATCCCATGATATGTGAATCCTTCACTATTTTCCAGATGGCATATAGTCTCTTGCTTAGCAGGACCAAGCTAGAGAGTACGAACTGGTTAGAACATACCTTTAGAGAACTAAATATAAGTGGAGGGACAGTGTGGGGAAGCCTCTTACGTCCTCCAGTTGAAATATGCTTCCTCACAGTATCAATGATCTGAAACTCGATAAGCATAAGACAGTCAATTAAAGAAAAAAGAAACAAGGAAAAGATATATGATGACAAATAGCCAACATTTCAACGTGAGCTCCAATACTAAGTGAAATAGTGTCACATTTAAGACAGGTATTCTTCTATGATGGTATCTCACTATTAGAATAACATCAAGACAGTTTCACTGAAAATTGAAAAATAACTCATGATGCTCTTTTTTTGAATTGATACTAACAAAAAAACTTCCGAAGTGAAGGGCACTAAACAGGAACAAGGAGGATCCACCAAATAAGAAGATCCTACTTCCTTCTGTTTCTGGAAGAAGGCAGTTCCAAACAAAATCGACGAAACAGAAGAAATTCGAGTGAACGGAATGAAGATAAACTTCACCTTCAATTTAAAGAAAGAGGCGCCTGTACATTGCATATTTTAATTTTTTTTTTTTTGGTTGTCCCTCTCTCTCTCTCTATATATATATATATATATATATATATATATAAGCTCATACAATCTTCCGTCATGTTTTTCATCTCCTTGAGTATCGCATTCAATAGAATACACAACTGAATAGGTCGATAGTGAAAAAAGAAAGTGTGGCCAGAGCATTAAAAAATTACAATATCTGAACAGTACAACAGTCCAGCCATGCAATGGCTTTGACATAATAACTGATAAGTGAGAATATCTCCCCGGTGGTAGTATAAAGCAATTTTTTAGGGTTGAATATGAAAATTAGATAAAATATGAGTGTTACGTTTGTCCAACTATCACCTACCTACTTTTAAAATCTTGATAAGTGAGAATATCTCTCCGGTGGTAGTATAAAGCAATTTTTTAAGGTTGAATATGAAAATTAGATAAAATATGAGTTACGTTTGTCCAACTATCACCTACCTACTTTTAAAATCAGGTCGGACTATCAATAAGACAAACTGGCTATAGCCATACCGAGATATAACTACTTAAAAAATGTACAAAAACATAAACCAGCTTATGCAGGGGATATCAGACTTATAATGATGGTAGACATGTGAGAAAACTCACACCAATGGCATCTGGTATAGGACTGGAAAGGTCAATATAACTGAAAGAATCAAAGGGGCGCAATAATATCAAAACGAGAGCACTATAATTGAGTTAAAAAATAAAAATAAGATTACCTTCAACATCTCTTCTGGATCATCACTTTGAAGCATTTGTATAAGACGTGCAACAGAATTTTGCTCTTCTTTAAAGTCCTCATCAAGCTAACAATACAAGGGAAAAAGAAAGTAAATCACCTCAAAGACTAATGGTGATCACAAGAACGATTAGATTACAAATATAACAAATGATTGAATTTGACAGTTAAAAGCTATAAATTTTTAGGAACTATATACACACCACCTCATCACGGAGATCTTCATCTGATTCTCTTATAAGCCCCTTTATTAATTCAAACAATGCATCCACCTATAACAAAAACTCCAGGTCAAAGAGGAAGTACGACTTTGACCAACTACAGTAAAGTTAATGAAACATATACCTTTTCAGCAGTAGAAATGCAAGCCTTGTGTTTCATTATATTTTGTATAATAACACTGGCCATCTCCTTTTTTGTTTCATTGTTTAGATGCTCCATGACGCGTGGATAATTCGACAGCTTCAGAGCAATGTCTATATCTTTATATTTCTCTAGTGGGGCACTTAGTAGGGCGACAATTTTTTTCGTTGCTTTGCTATCATCAAGCTTTTCTCTTCCTGAAAGTTTATTTACGCATGCTCCCTGCCAGAAATGAATGAGGTTCTCACAGTTAAAAATATATTAAACAAAAAAAAACTTCTCCAGACATGTCTAGTATGCAGAAATACCGATATCAACTAATTTTATCACAGAAGATAAACTACAAATAATTTGCCACAACATCAGGTCAGCACGGGGGAAAGTATAAACAAGAATGCAGACATAGGTAAGTGAGGAAGATAAGTGATGCGCACTCACACTAATCCGCGTGGTACATGTTCTAGAAAAGCTTACCAGGATTTGGTCAACATAATCAAGGCGATCGGGATGTACTTGTAGAGTGAATGTCAAAAGAGAAGCATATAAAGTTACTACTCCAGCAATAGGAAAATTTTCTTGTGCTTCTATCACCTGTATTCACAATCTGGTAGAAGTGAATTTCCAGGGGAGGAGAACAGGCCAGAATGTGCTCTGAATTTGTGTTAGTTGACAGGAATTTTTTCTATATTTACACGTTTAATTAACAGTTCCACCCAGTGAAGAACACCAAATAAAAAATTAAAAAAGAAAAAAAAAAATTATGAGTGTAAATTACAGGAGATGTGAAGTAAAGCTGAATATAATCTTAGTTGCCACCATGTGTTATTAGCACTAGTGCCATAATTTTTAGTGCTTGTTTGGGACCCTTTTGTTAAAGTCCATTTATTAAATGGACTTCTGCAAAATGAACTTCTCCAAAAGTCTCTGTCCTTTATTCCTGTAGAACGGACTTTTTGGGGAAAACCAACTTATCCATAAGTCCATTTTTAATTTATTACCAAACACGAATTATCCAAATGGACTTTTTAGTCCAAAAGTCTATTTGAGAAGTGTTTCCAAACAAGCTCTTAATAAAAAGACTAATGCGACATCATGAACAATTCAGATTTCACCAACAAAAATGTTCAAAACAAATTGAAACATTATTGTCAATCCATTCTCATTACCATATTCTTCAAGAAAACACCACAAACACTACCTGCTATTTAACAGAACACCACAAACAAAAACAAGCATGTCGTCCACAAGGCATGTAATATAACAATCTAAATGCAAGTATGAAACAACAATAATTCTGTCCAAACGCTTCAAATCATCATTTGCAAATTCTATACTTAGTTGTTTCATATGGAAAATACAAAGACATATTGTCTATGGCACTGTTTAGCTTGACAAAAGCTTCTACTTGAAAAAATTCAGGGAACACCTGCATTAAGTAACTCAATGAAGGAAAATACAATACTCCAAGTCATTGCAAAAAATACATTGCAACAAAATATCGTACTTCTGCACCAGAAGCAGCATAATTTGAGAGCCTTTCCATCAGACGAGCAAGCACTGTCTTCACATCAACAGAAGGCTGCAACAAACGTACAAGATGGTGGTAGAAGTTTAACACAAAAGGAAATATAAACGCAGAAGCAGTAGACATTAGAATCAAATGGACTAGGGTAATTTTTTTTCTTGGACTTGATGAAGACTGGGCCATTTTTTCCTTAAACAGAATCGTTCCCTAAGAACCCTAGTATCACTAGCATTCCATTTAAATATAATAGAAAAGACCAGAGCCTTGAGAAAAGTGGATCCTAAGCAACTACAAGTGACCATTTTGCCGCTTTAACTGACCAGCGGCATTCCCAGTCAATAACCATTGCCTTTCGCCTATCACCACCAATAAATTAAGTAAAGTACAATTCATGTTTTGGAAGAATGTATCCACCTGAAGTTGAGGGCAGGCATTCAATAAGGTTTCAAGAGTTTGCAAATGGTATTCATCAGGGAAGACTTGAATTATGCAATCCATCAAGTAATATTGGGCAAGCTCATCCTTGCAGTTAACAACCTAAAGAAAAAAAAAATGTTCAGAGCATCAAACTATATATATAGAAAAAGTATAAATACACGAGCCTAAGTCAAGATTCACTTGCTCCAATACTGTGGGAAGCACTATTTCTTTGTACATTTCAAGGTCAACCCCCTCAATCTGGCTGAGAACATGAAGATTCTTACCAACCTAACCAACATAAATTGACCAAAACAATATTTAGTTAATATGCTCAACCAGTAAAATCAGCAACAGTAGAGCTTATCTTCAGGATCATTACAAGATCACGTAGTTCACTCCTTTCTTTTTCTCTCTTCTCCTTTTCCCTAGTAGGTCCCTGCAGATAAAAAGGCACAAAATGGCATAAATGTCAAAGAAAATGGCATGCTTTATGCAGAAACATATATCAAGGTTAATGAGAAAACTACTAGATTTCGTTATTTCTCATCTCACCTGATGCTGCATTCTAACCCAAAGTTTGTTCATTTCTGTGAAATTTTGGAGTACAAACTCAACGGCATCCATGACAGTATCCGCATCCCTATCAGAGATTCCCAGATCATTTTAGTCAATATGGTCAACCCATTGTTCCAATATAATTAAGTCAATAATAATATTCACAAAAGGTAGAAAATGCAGTTAAATACATGACTCGACAGAAAGATGTACACGTGTCAATTTATGCTTATCTACTACAACTACAATAAGCAGATAGATTCTTAAAATAAAAGTTTCAAGGTTATATGGGATAAAAACTTCACAAAAATATAATCCAGTTTGTTATAAGAGATTTTTTTTTCCTTCAGATATTTGGTTCACAGGTCAATATGCATAATATGTAAGGATGGGTTCCAGTAGAACACTAATTTCAAGCTATTAGATTCTGGAACCCCATATCTTGCTATATTAAGGATGTCTCTGCAATTAGGAAGTAACCTTAAACGCTAATCTGTATTCTAAACCTACTTACAACATCAACAACAAACCACAATAGTTAGCCATTCAATATTTCCATCTTCCTTCCTCATTTTCAAAGAGAATGACTTGCTTGTGACTCCCAGACCATTTAAATCGGAAAGGTAAGCTAAATTGCCATAACCAGGTTCATGCAACAGTAAGTATTAACACACCAAAGGGCCATTAAGATAATAACACTACCTCCAGCTGTAATGGAAAGCATATTTAGAATGAAGTACCAGAAAAAGAAATGGTTCCATGGCTTTCTTTTAATTTTATGCATTTTCAAGGAACTTAATTTAGATCTCCAGAAAGAAAGTGGCCATGCATAAGAGAGAAATTGATATGGCACAATTTCAATACTATGTGGAAGGTCAAGAATCACAATACATCGCGCGGGCATCTTTGGTAAAGGGGACCAAAAAAGGTTATTACATAGCTGCTAGCTCCACAGAAATTTATATGCCTTAAGGCAATAATATTGAGGCTAAATCCACAATGAAGAATATATTGGTCACATTTTAAGCTTACCCTTCATACTCAGAACCAATGTCAGGCAGTTTATCCTTACTGACTTGAGAGAGGTAACTCCTCAGAAAAAGGCCACGCAGAGGATGCTGTATGCCACGACACATTTCAACAAGATCTTTAAGTACATCTTTTGCTGGGGCTTCTTTTGATTTTATGTAGACACAACCCACAGTACAGAGCAAATATCTAACACAAGAAAACACAGAATTGCAAAAACGGCCACTCCAATCTCTAGACAGACAGTCGTAAGAGGCAGGTATTGGTGTCACAAAAGTTCGGTTAGACCAAAACTTAAGGCCCCGTCTGGAAGTCACAAAACATAGTAGTTTCAGGAGTGAGCTTTGCAAATCCCCTACCATCAAAGACTATTGGACGATGTATCCTCTTCCATAAAATTCGCTGGTTTTTATGAAAAATCCAATGGGATGCATTGATCTAATTATGCCCACTAGCTTGCCATACAAAACTTAAGCAACACAGGCTAAAATAAAAGTTAAGAAAGTAAATAATGCAGTGTCATTTACATGATGCTCCCAAAAAAAACTCAGGACATGCTTGTTTATGAAATAATTCATTTCAGGTTCAAAATCTAACTGAACTTTAACTCAACTCACTATCATTTATATTATTTATATAATTAAATATTATAAACCAATCATTCTTACATATCACATCAACTTTAATTTACTATTCATCCACTCACATAATTTTAACTACCTATCATTTCCAATCATTGTCAATCATTTATATCCTACTTTTACATCAAATCATTAATAGTTATTTTATTTTAAATATTATTTTAATATATTATTAAAATTACACTAACAATTAACCATACTATCTTTTTCAAAATTAACTCTAGTTAACTAAAATAACTCATTTTGAATGAAATATTTCATAAACAAGCACGCCCAGTTTTCCTTCTCTTGCCAACATCAAGCTTTTTAAACTTCCAATGCACGAGCAATAAAGTTGAGTCCAAATGCAAATTCTACCAACAAAAAGACATAACTAACAAAAAAACATAGGAAGACACAACAGTTCGGAAATTGAATAAAAAATAAGCAGAGCAGAGAAATGATTCTTACAGTCTCGGCAGAATATTGCCAGCGTATTGCACGAGCTCATAAAGTTCGACAATGGAGCACCCACGACCAGTCTCCTCCTTGAAGAAGATTTCAAATTTCCGCAGCTCATCAAACGCCCTCATATCTGCACAACCAAGCTCAAGCTTCAAACGACGATGAAGAAGAGAAAACGAACAAACTCAATGAACAGCAAAGAGCCACGTTTTAATTACACACAAAGTTCGTAATATTTGTGAGGGGAGAGCCTCGAGGTCCGGAGCTCTGACAGCATCTGCGCAGAAAACGTCAGTGCATCCTTCAAATTGTTCGAATCCTGAGATCAAACACGAATTGCAGCTCAAAATCTAGGTTTAACCGATAAAAAAAATGAAGAGCGGACTAAAGACAGTACGAGGGCGCGATGCATGTGAAAGTCATTCTGCTGAAGGCCGGCGATCCCGGCAGAGAGCCATTTTTCTTCGTCTTCAACTCCGTCAGCGATCACCCCCTCTCTCTCTCTCTTCTCCCGACAACTGACAAATGCGTAGAAAGAAATCTATGACAGTAAACGACGAAGATTTTACTACAGTGATAATGACTGAGGTCATATAATATAAGTAATTAAAGAAGTTAGTACAATTCTTTTGAAAAAATTAAAATACGGAGTTGTAAATATTTATGGCCTTCTGTTTTGTGTGAGATGGAGATGGTATAGTGACAAAGGTTTACAGTGAAAAAAAATTAAAATGCATAGTTATAAGATAATTCAATAGAAAAATAAAGTAAAAATTATAAACTCGATATTTTTGACATTACTCCCACCCAATCCACCTCCTTCTCTCCCACACACTTCCCACCTACTCTCTCTGTCACGCACATCACGCATGATTAAACCATCTCTCTTACCTGTTAGCCGCCGTTTTTCCTTACCTTGTCGAACCTTTTTTTTTTATTCTTCAACCACGTCGAGATGTTCACGGGCACGGATTGGCGTAGCCTAGTCAGAGCATGACCCATGCCGCAACTCATCTAGGATTGCCACGGGGTTGGATTTTCGACCGACAGGGTGACCGGCTTCGTTCGGGAGGAGGGAAGAGAGGTCGAATCTCGCCCGATTGAAGCGGCGACAACTGTCGGGGGAGATGGCGAATGAACAAACGGCGTCACTCCTATGGAGCTCGAGAGTCGATATGCAAACTGTTCGCGAACTGGGTTAAACTGGCACCACCACGAACGACCTTCTGTCTTGAGCTCCAGTGACCTACAATACGCCGGGGAGGGTCTCGTCAGAAAAACCTCTGATGCTCAAATCAGTACTCACTCGTTAGAATAGCGGGAAAACTTGATAATATATTGATTCATAAAGATGCGTTGTACATAAAATAGAACATGATCACCCTTTATATATTAGGTGTCTTATTGTCTAAATAGAGTACTTGCTAGGAAAGAGATCAAGCCATATCAGCTTTCCTAGCTTATCACATCTAGAATCTCCAACTCCTTAGCGAGATACATTATCCATGCTAAAAGGATTATATCCACTTTTGCCATATGGCGCTTAGGTCCTTAGGTCATCTAAATCACCTCGCAACCCACCTGCCACGGATTATAACCAAGTCATAACCACGACCTCTATCTTCAAGACCTCATGATCGTGAGGTCATCTATCCGAGCACCTGAAGGAGCCCGACTTTCAAACCCTCCAATTAGGCCGACCTATACCTATACCCTGAACTGTATAAACGAGCTCTCCGACGAGTTCAAACACTGAAATCGAGGAAAAGCTCCTTTGGACCGACCGTACCCGAGCTAACCACTCAGGCCGGTCCACCGAGCTATTTTGGGTGTCATATCATCTAGCCCTCTATTCTTGAACGAGCTACCAGGACTTGTGCAAGAATGATTCAAACATGCCCTTCAATGCCATTAGTTAGTCGACATGCTCTCTTAGGATGTTTTTCGTCTTTTCTTTTTACTGTGAATCGATGCTTCTTCAAACATTACTGAGCTCGAAAATCTTTACTCAATTTAGCCTTCGAAATATTTAGCCACTTAATTATTTAGGCACTCGAGCAACTTGCTCAGGATCTCTATCTTAAAAAACATAACCTCTTTGGCACTCGAGCTACCTACTTTGGGCTACTTCCACTTGAGAAATAAATAACTTTTAGATACTTCATAGGCTTAAGGCCCTTGAGCTACCTGCTCGAAGTTCCGCCTCCTTACTTGGCCCCCAAGCTAACCACTCGAGGTTTTGCCGCTTTAAAAAGTACTCAGTCCTCGAACTAATCGCTCGAGGTTCAGATGCTGTAAAAAAACTCGGCCCTCGAGTGGACATATATCCCTGGGCCCCCGAGCTCATCTGCCCGAGGTCCTGTCCCTTGACAACATTGTAGGCCCCAAGAGAGGTTTTGCTGATTAACTATAGTCCTCTGAGCTTGTCTGCTTGGAGTTATGTTCTTAATAAAAATATAAACCGGAAACTTAAATTTGCACCAAACTTGGCAAAATATAACTGAACATTACTGATTACGCAGGGCCTTCGGGCCACCATGACGGCGACATTCATCGAGCTGTGCGGCCAACTTTCGGAGACTCGTCGGATGTGGCGATGACCTTTTCCTCGGGTGAGATGGTGGGTCCTCTCCTTGGGTTATGCCTCCAACCAGGTCCCCTGTGAGTGAAGGTTGTGGCTCCTTTTATCCCCGTCGGTGGTGGTTGGGGCTGAGATTGGGGCAGTTTACTCTCCTCCCTTCTCCCGTTTTTTCTCTGCTTTTTGGGTCTTTGGGTTGTGTTGGCGGAGTCGGGTCGGGGTTGGGTCTTGTGTCTTGTGTCCTGGACCAAGGTCGTCGAGATTTGGGAGGTGAAGTATGTTGTAGATCTCCGATTGCGGGTCTAGGGGTATATACCCAGGCTAGGGTTGGGTCCTTTAGTCTCATATCTGGTTAAGAGATTTTTCTGCAGTTTCTAGAATTGCGGCTTGGCCCAAGTCTCTGTCCGTGTGGATAGTGGCCCATGGGTGTCGACGTCGTTGGTATTCGTTTTGGCTACACTATTGTTTAGTTTAATCTTTTTTGTGTTTTGTTGTTGTGTTTGTTTTTTTTGTTTTGTTGTTGTGTTTGTGATGCGCATTTAATATTTTTTGCATTTTGTTGTTGTGTTTGTGATGTGCTGTAAGTGTATTTTTGCATTTTTTTCTGGTTGATTCTCTGTATTCTCCCGTTGGAGAGTATTTTGTGTTTTTGTTGTGTTGTGGATATTTTTTGCATTTTGTTGTTGTGTTTGTGATGTGCTGTAAGTGTATTTTTGCATTTTTTTCTGGTTGATTCTCTGTATTCTCCCGTTGGAGAGTATTTTGTGTTTTTGTTGTGTTGTGGNTGTTCCATTTTAGAAATATGTTGCATTCACACTAGAACGCAATTTACAACAGGAATAATATCTATACAAAACACACATGGATATGAACCAACGCGGTTGTTTAGTAAGGCCAGGTATGCATATAAATATCATCTAAATTTAACACACCATTAATCAATGAGCTCTCACAAGGAATGGATGCTGGCACACACTACACTCGATGGTTTCAGAACCCGATGCTGGTACTTGGACCTGCGACCCAAAATTTCCATGAACTTTTAAATATCAAACCAAGGGTTCAGTCAGACACAACTGAAATTGCTTCCACAAAGGTTGTAAGTAGAAAGGGCCACTTCAAATGAACTATGTAAAAAAGAAAAGGCAAACGAAAGAATAAGAAAGAACCTGTAAATGGACCGTGCAAGTTGGACATGCAACTTCTCTCATTCTCATCCCAGAGGCTTCGGACTTCGCTCCTACAAGATAAGCATAAAAATTTGCAACGACTGTCGGACAAAACCAAAAGCATTATGATGTCAAGTGTGGTAAGGATTGATTTTCAGTATGCAGAAATAAGAAATACCTGTCTTGCGATTTTTGTTCATCTCTTCCTGTAAAAGAAAAACATTAACNNNAAATCAGGAATCCTGAGACTATCACTTCATGCAAATCAACTATGTGTGATAAGATGTGCTAATGCTAATGACCTGGTAGTGATGCATATTAACTATACAGAACCTTAAAGTTCCAGAAACATTGAAACTAAATTCATAAGGGAAGTCAATTTATGCAAGCTGCATTACCTGTAGTTTTCTAGCAAGATCTTCATGGCTCTGCAACCCAGCAGGTCTACCAGGTGGTACTTTATTGCTAAGCCTTTGGGTTACTTCAGCCTGCATAAATGAAAAGTAACAAGGACAAAATACTTGTAAAAGGAGGATTCTTTTAGAACCTTTTTCTCTCTATATCATTAAAAGTATTCTTATTAAATATGGGAAACCTTGAGATATCAAGAAGATGATAATATATTGTAGTGCAACTGTGCAAAAACTTAAACTGCGGAAAGCAGCTTTAGTAGTGCCGCCTAGTTTTAACATAGTTTAAACAACAAAACCCTCTCAATAATTTCATATGTTAAAAGTTAAAACTTCTCTATAAGTGAATCAGATGTCCTAAAAAACCGAAAATACAGACCCTGAAAAGCATGTTCATTCAAGTGATGATAGCAGTATAGAAATAGCCCTAAAAGTGAATCAGGTGTCCTGGAAAACCTTAAACCCTGAAACATGAGGATTCATTGAAATTGCTAAATTAGCATAAGTTCAAGGGCAAGCCATATGCTGGAAAATTTAACACAAGAAATGCGTAACTAACAGAAAAGAGAACAAGCATCAGGCTTTGAGGAGCACAAAAAGATCATCTGCAAATTCAATTCAAGAGAATGCAGATTTATGTTCATAAAATAATAAAGCTAACTCAGCTCATCAGTGGGGGCTGACAATAAAGGTGCTGCTACAATGAGCCATTTACAATGTGGTTTTTCAAGTAACTACAAGTTGGCCTGAAAAGAATCTTCTAACTAACAAGTATTTCGACTTTACCACTACAATGACTCATGTGCTCATTAAAGCTGGGACACCCATTCATAATAATTCCATAAATGTATACATTCTTGTAATGCACAAAAGCCACAATTTTAATTTGTTGATCAATGATAAAGAAAGGAAAAGAAAAACAAAAGCCAGTAAAATACAGCATACCATGCATTGGTCACAAACTCTAACTGGCTGAGCATGCTCCTCTTCGGTCAGGGCAATTCTCCCTTGTGTGCACTTGTCACAAAAAATATCCCCACAGTTTCGGCAGTGATGCTGGTGAAAACGCAGAAATGTACATGGCATCAAGAGTAAATAGTAAGTAACTTTACTGTAGAACATAAGATTCCTGAGGCATTCTTGGGCAGTTTATGTAGGTGAATACTGGATAAATTCCTCCATTTGTTAGCTTTAGGATCTACCATAACATCATATATAGCAAATCCTTGGGCAGTTTTGACTCATAAAGTGATGCAAATACAATGCAAAACATACTATTTTATTGAGGGTCTAAATTATGTATCTTACATTTCAAAGACGAGCAGTCCAAACATGAGAAGTGACTTTATGAGTATTTAAAAAGATTCTAAAATCAAGTTAGGCCATATTGTGGACTGAATTAATTTAAGCCTAAAACTTATATTGGTTTGAGATAGCAACAATTTTGTCTTTTCAACTCCAACAATAAATATCACTTTATTACAAAGACTGAAACCCCTACTGCGTTCACTTGTTTTACACAGAAAGGGATAAATTTCAAGCTACCACCATTAGAATAGACACTAACCCTTCTATTGAAAGCACTAAAATCTGCTCTGCATGTTGTGCACTTAGTTACTGCTTCATCGGGAACCTAAATTTGAGATAAGAAACAGTCAGAAGGTTTTGAGTTGTGCAAGCAAACGTCTTTTAAAGAACAAGTGACAGCTAAATACACAGAAATTTTGAAACTAACCCAGTGATCTTTCTCCTCATTGGCAGGCTTTATTATATTCTTCCAATCGATAAAACCTTTCTTCTTCTCTGCTGATTGCTCAGTTCCCTTCACTAGATCTGGGGAGTTATGGCTTGAACCAATTTCCTTGGACTGCTCACAAATTTCGAAGATGTGAAACATCATAAATTTAAGTAAGTGTCCTTTGTTCTAGATTACAACTGGCACAGAAAAATCACTGCAGTATTTCATAAAATTAAATATTTGCTTGATGCAGTATGTACCCATGAGTTAAACCCCATTAAACGGATATAAACTAAACAAAATTTGTCATTGACTCATTGAAGCAAGATATCATATTATTTAATTCTATGCGTTTCTTTTATAAATCGCAGTAGTTTCACTCCCACCCAGCGACTACACATCATTATACCGGAAGCATAAAGATAGAGTGTGATAAGATACGGTACTGGATTTCCAATCAATCACAACTCATGAGTACGGGATCAGTAGACTGTGAAATGACATATGCAAGCCTAATCTGCAAGTCATCAATTGTCGCCAGTTAAGACAGTACAAGGAAAATATTAAGTAGGAAATCTCCTAACCTGAATGCTGGCTGCTGTCACCAAGTCCAGAATATTGTTTGTGGTATAACTATTTGATTTCAACCTAATCCTCCTTGGTTCTAAATCTACACTAGTTTTGGCCCAAAATGCAAAGATATATGAATCCAGCACCTGGATAAAAAACCCAATACGATCTCTCAAAAATGGTTTAAATGGAACTGAATTTTCACATGGGTTATTGCCAAACTTACCTCCCATCTTGTCACTGACTCAAGAGGATATATCTTTAATGTCCTACTAGTCGCTGGATCCAGAACGCATATACCATCCAGGCCAATCTAAAATCAATCCAAGTAACTCAATCAGAAATCACAAACAAACATCCAAACATATAAATAAAATTGCGATGTACACAGTCACCACAACTGCAATTGCATCACTAGTTCTAAAATTAGACCCACCGCGGTTATGCTGCAATTAGAAAAGCTACGTCTGGACGAACACAACTTCTACCCAAAATGAACTATCCAAATCCAACCCAAATAACGAATGTAAAAGATATATAAACAGCTCAGACAAACCTGACAAAGAACATCCATATCATTCTGATCAAATCCTTCTGATAACAGCTTCACGCGGAACTTCTGAATACCACTCCTGACATCCTCAACATCCTCCGCCTTTGGAACCGCTTTGACAATATTATGCAAAGAACTTCCAGATCCACCCTGATCCTTTCCTCCAGGAACATTGATCGGCCTCCCGTAATCGTCAAACATCACCTCTCCCCCGCTGCCAGAGCCCGACGAGCGGCCGTCTTTCTCTCCATAAGCAGACTGCGGCTGACCACCGTTGTACTTAAAGACCCCCGCATCGAACACCCCTCGATCTCCTCCGCCGTGATTCAAGTTGCTCTCACACGAATTGGCGCTGTATGGAGGATATGAAGATCCATACAAATACGAATTCAAAGAATACGGAGGATCGAAACCGGGCTCCGAGTTGCGGCCGGGGTTAGGAGTAGGGTCTGTGGGGAAGGTGTAATCGTAATTCGCGGGGGCCTGGGTTTGAAGGTACGGATGACGGTGATTGTGGGGGGGCTCGTGGAGCTGTGGCGGAGGGTATTGACCGAGGTTAGGGGCATGATCGGGATCTGTAGGCAAGGAGGGGTAATTGGAATAATCGGACGGCGAGGCCGTGAACGGAGGGGCAGAGGCGTGTGGAGAGTAAGGAGAAGGAGCCGGCACGGAGGGGTTGTGGAGCTGCGGGAGATCGGCGGCGGGCCGTTGATCGTAATATTGGTGGTAATAGGATGAGGAGACGGCGTCGGTTGGTCGGTGCATGTTGTCGATGAGGGAAATCGGTAAGAGCTTAAAAATGCTTCAAGCTTTTGGGTTTTGTGTGGGTAAACGCGTGAGAGTTGAGAATTGAGATAGCCAAACTCTATATTTTACTTCCAACACTTCATCCGAAATGAAATTATTTAAGAAAGTTCTCGAAATTTTTTTACGCTAAGACCCTATAAGTTTTCCGTATTTCTCAATGTACCCACTTGGCTTTAAACCTTGGTCTTTTGAAACGTTTTTCAACAAATCTGTAAGGGGGTGATTGTTAGGGAGCTGTTAAATTAAACGAGTCTGACTCAACTCGGTTCAAATCGACTCATTAAGATTTGAGTTTAACTTAGCTCGTTTAATAAACGAGTTGAGCTTGAGCTCATTTAAAGCTCGTTTGGAGTTCGACTCGATAAGACTTATTAAAGCTTGAAAAGAAAATTTTTATATAATTTTCAATAGTCCAACTCGTTAAAATTCGAACTCGACTCGTTATTTGTGATAAACAATTCGAGCTTGAGCTTGATTTATGTCGTGTTTTTAACGAAGCGAGTTTGACTAGGCTCGTTTACCTGCCTATTAGGTAGTCAAAACCAATAAAAATCGATTAAAATTGGTCTTGAGTTAAAGTGGGTGATTTTGAATAAAGTTGATTGAATATGATGGGAGCATGCATTTCTCTCTCCTAAAAAGTCGTTCTCTCCCCCAGGCCCCAAGAGGAAAAAAAAACCCAGATCTGAGCGCAGTCTCCTCTCTTTCGCCTCATTCCTCCTCCTTCGCAGGTTGACCAACGTTGGGATGGAGCTCGTCAGCGCGGCCGTTCCGTCTAGCTTATTTTTCCGACTTCAGTTCTCATCCCTATCACAATGAGTTCATCGGGCTGTTCGGGTTATCGGTCCTGAAGCGCGGTCAAGGCCTCCAGCAAAGGTCGCCGCCCTCGTAGTGGCCGGAGCTAGTGCCTGCGAAGGTGCCTCCCTTGGGGCTGTCTGATTTCTGAGGTTGTATTGGGAGATTTCCCTCTGTTGTGTTGTCTTTTGATTTGTTTGTTGGTGTCGGGGTTTTGTTGGGGGAGGTGTCGGTTATTGGGCTCCGAGATTGTTGTCTGGTGGTGATTCATTTGGAAGGATGGTTAATCCTTGTTGCTTTGGCTCTAGTTAGTCATAGCCCGTTGAGTTAAGGGTTTAGAGTTGCTAGATCTGGGTCGAGATACTTGATTCATTTTCTTGGGATTATCGTGGGTTGTCGCTTTCGCTGAGGAGGCTAGGAGTTTGTGGTAGATAGTGAGGAGGGTCTTATTGTATTGCATAAGTGTGAATTGTTTGTTGTCTTTATCATAGTCTAGTTGTGCCTAAATGATCCATCTTTGTCATTCTCATCTCGAACTCAAATTCAATGTTTGCCTCACCGAACAAGCCTAGGATGAACCTTCGATACCGATACCACTTGTTGGGGTATCACAACAAGAGCAGTAGACAAAAATAGTCACAAAATAAATAATGATAAGCATTGCTACTAATGAAATAAGTCAACACAAATAAATAAAAGCCGAAAAAAATACAGAAAATTAATAACGGAGTTTGGCCAATAATGCTTACGTCTTCGGGCACCGCCATATGCAAATACCAAATTTACTTAACTCACCAATATATACAACTATGGTTACATAACCCACAAATTATGATTTTTTTTAATTAAAGATTTCCTTCTAAGGTATGAGAGAAGAGAATATGGTTCAATTGTAACCCAAATACAATAAACTTAATTATACTAAAAAGATCCTACACATCTAATGGACAAACATTGATCAAAATTTAACAATAGCCATTGTTACCAATTTTTGGTAAAGTTGCACAAATCCACTAGAGGATGGACTAAATATCAAAACAATGACCGAAAATTTTGGAAGTAGCCACGTATAGAAAACCAAAATTCTTTAAAATTAGCCACATTACAGAATCACAAACGAAAAGAGTCAGATAGAGGTGGCAAAAGCAAGCAATAAACCTTAAATCAACAATGGCGTGCCTAGAAATCGTCAGCTATCAAATTATAATTAGTCGCCCGTTATAATTAGTTGTTGATGAGTAGCAGCCCAACGGGCCTGCACGATAACCTGAAGTCGAACAAGGGCATGCATGCAATGTAGGGCTATTCGTGCCTGTCTTCTTACCACCACCCCACGAACAACGGCTTGTAGCTTCACCAAGCTTCTTAGTGCTTTGTATTCCCGTCTAGCCTATACATATATACCACATATGTACGTGCGTGTGATTCTTCGCAAGAAGTAGTTGAATAAGACTATATAAAATATATTATAGCTACAAAAAGAAAAATAAAAAAAAAAAAAAAAAAAGAGTGTAGTATATTTACAAGATGGCCCCTAAACCATGTTTGAATGGCGATTGCGGCATGGTCCTCTCGGTACGCGAAATACGAACAAGCATTATCGTGAGCCTCGTCTTGTGCAGTAGTGCAATTACTACTAATGTTGTAATCTTCATAACCAAAGCTTTCGTTGTTTGTATGGACGATGTGAAAAACTGTCGTGATGTCTTGATTATTCCGAGATGTCGGCCGAGTAGTACGAAGAAGCTTTCTCTTAATGGTCATCCATAGAAGGCAGTCTTTGTTCCGAGCCATTTTAATTTGCCGTAATTGTTAGATTAATGTGAGATAGTTTTGCTGTTTTCTTGATTAGGAAATTAGAAGTTGAATGAATGATTATAGTGTGTGGTTAACATGTTTGGTGAGACGGACAACGTGCGGAGATGAATGGAGATTTTCGTTCAGGTAAGATAGGTGGCAAGTCATTAACTTTTGAATTGGTAATTAATTGTATTATCATTACATATATGTATGCAGGGATATTTTATATATATATATCAAGATTTGTGTATAATATTTATTATGTATATATTTTATATTGCTAGACAATTCTGTGTCTGGATTAAGAAAATTTATTTGTGTTATTGAATTTTCCGTTGAGTAACTATTCTATTATTATATCCATAGTCTTCATACGGTGTTAATTAATATTAGAGTTTTTATAATGCAGAGAAATAAATAAATCAATGTTTAGGTCAAAAATTGACTTCTATAAAACCTAAATACTTTTTGATAAATTTTGTATTAGGTCAACCTAACCATTGAATCGACATAGTTTATTAAACCCTTTATGATTCATAAGATGGCATATATATATGTTGGTTAATAACTCAAATGTCGATTAAAAATTATATCTTTTTTACCATAAAAAATAAAAAAAAATAAAATTATTTTTATCAAATGTGTGTAATATTAAAACATAATTAATGCTTTTGAAAAGGAGTATAAATATTCAAGATATTTATAGACATTCCAAGCGTAGTTACTTTTGAATTGAAAATAAATTAAAATTCATCAAAATCAAACAACAAAACTTAATAATTTGTCACATAGAATTTTGAAGCGTACGAGTCTGCCACTTAAGCTCAGAACATTCGAAAATTATATATAAGAGATTAGAGATATATAAGGTGATTATGGGAATAAAGCGGGGTGATTATGGGAATAAAGCACCAGGATTTACTTAAGCATGTAGAATAAATAACACCTATTTCGTAAATAACAAAGGAAGACACGGTCAATCACAAGTACCACTCATCACGATCCATCACATGATAATTTATAGTATAATATTAATACTTTATCAAATGATAATTTTTCAATCTAGTAATCATGTCCCAAGATCTCTTTTTATAAATATGAAAACTCTCACTAAAAGGATATTATATTTTATACAAACTAGTGTGTACTCCGTGCGATGCACGGAAACAATATTAAATTAACAATATTATAAATAGACCTCGAGTTTGAGTCAATGGCGGAAGTGAAAACTACTATTGATCGTATTTAAAAAGAGGAAGAAAAAAAAATAATTATAAATAAAAGAGGAGGATAAACAATACTTAATAATTATAAATTAAAGATTCGGGGTCAAACAATGTAAAATGATTTTGTATAAGAGAATATAAAAAAATTTGATTACACACCATTTCCAAATTATTATTATACTTTTTTGTATGGTTAGCTTAGAATATTTGTAAAAATATTAGTAATTAGACCGATGAAAATTAGCTTCTTAAAGTAGATAATAGATTTCTAGTAGTAATTATGAATTAGTTTCTATTTTATTTTATTTTTTCTTTTTAAAGATAATGGATTTCTAGTAGTAATTATGAATTGATTTCTATTTTATTTTATTTTTTCAAATCTGTATAGATAAGAGATGAGATTTTTTAAACATCTAAGATCGTATGCAATGAGATTTTGTAACAGAAGAGATAAGCTCGTGTAGGTTTATACTAAAAATAGGAAAAAGAAAAAGAAATATTTATTGTTAAAACGATAAACTAAGAAACAGGAAAAAGAGAAACAAATTTTTACACAATTAATGAGCAGATTTTTTTGCCTATTCAGATTTGTCCAACAATTACTATATATAGGATATATTTAATGATTTTGGCGGGAAAAAGTTTCTAAATTTGTAAAAAGGTTATTCTTTTTATATAATGATAGATATATACTTTTTCTACAATATAAATACAATTATGTCAGCTAATAATATAAATATATATTTTAATTCAAAAGTAAAATGGGCAGACGTACAAGAATTTAGGTTTGCGAATCCAAATATTACATTTCTTACAATACTTTTCCAGATGCGTTACCGTGCATCGCGGGCAAAGTGCAGTAGTTTCCGAAAACAATTACTTGCGTTGAAGGGGCAAAATTGTCAAAAGGATTGTTTTCTTTCTGGCATAAGGGGAATTGCCTTGGCTCCCGCCATAAACAATCACATAGAGAAAATCACTAACACCGAACGAGATTTGGGGTCACACTCACCCATTATCGGATCAGTCTCTTCAGGTTTGAGCTTCCCCTCAAATTTTCTCGGTTTGGGTTGCCTTGTTTTTAATTTATTTTTCCATTTTGTTTTACCCCATTTTTCCGAGTTCTCGTTTGGGTTTATGCCAGAATTACATATTGATATGATCTGCATAACCTGTTGGGCATTGCTGTTTGAGATTGCCATGGGTCATTTTGTGAACTCTAGCAATGTGGACGCAATTCGTCATCTTTTTGTTAGTGTGATTTACTTTTCGTGCTGCTGGTTTTGTTGATCTGAAGACTTGTATGTTGATTTATGGGGATCCTGTTTGTGTTTGGGGTTGTAGAAGTGAAAGTTCTGAGTCCCATGGATCTATAGCAGTGGGTTTGAATGTATCTATTTTTGTTTTGTTTGATTGGATCTGATATCCTCCAGAGTTGGACACATTTTTGAATGCTCGTTTTCATAGATTGTTGATGCTTGCTTCTGATTTTTGTTCTATTCTTATGAAGTGTATCCTGAATTCCTGATATAATCATCTGTAGATCTGTTTATAGTTAGAAAGTTTACATTAGTGATCCAACTGTAGGCTGTAGCCCATCCTATCGAGCTCCATTTGATATACAGTTTATGGCTTGGAAATCGTACATTCCGTATTATATTATTGAATACTGACTAGTACGAAAATTTATGACAGGATTTACGACCGCTTATATGTCAGGCATTTGTATCAAGTTAACTTAAAAGATTAGCTTTCTCAACTTATTAGGTTGGTTTTTATAGATACAAGTGTGAAAATCTTGTGGTTTCTTTGATCCGCTAAATTAACTTTTTTTTCATTTATATTCATTAATTGTAACCATATTGTATTACGTAAAACTGGCTTATATCAAATGTTTATAAACCTTTATATTGAAGCTGGTGTCATATTCAACCTTCAAGTTCCATATTTCTCTACATTATACTCATGAAGTTTTGGGTTAAGCCTTAAGTTTCATGGAAGTTTTTCAAACAGGTTGTAGGTATCTTGTTTCAGGACAGCAGTTATGTGTATTTAGACCATTTAAATTTCCAGTTTGAAGATATAGAATCTATTAAGAGGTCCAATTTTACTCCATACAAAATAGGATCCACTAAGGTATGTTGCATTCGTGAGTGAAATATAAAATTGTTTAGCTTCGTCACTCTAATTAAATTTTAACCTGTGGTAGTGTGGTGTGGCTGGAAATTTTGGACGGATTATCCCTACTAGCCGACAACTCATTTATCATGTGATGCAATATTTCCAAGCCCCTCAACTAAGGCTTTATTATTATTTTTTTCTCTCTTTCCATCTCTATGGATTTGTTCATTACTGCTACATGCATTTTTTGCGTTCGTGTCAATTTTATGGTGAATCGGTTATGAAAGGCCAACAACTTCGATGAGTGAGTGACATTTATCATTATACCCCATTACAGGTGTCAATTTATGGATATTATTGAGCTGCATGCGTCTTTCTTATTTTCGTGTATAAATGGGGAGAGGTCGAAGACTCCAGTTGTATAATTTTCTTTTAGGTGGTCAAGGACTTCAGTTGTGTAATTTTTTTTTTCAGGTTGTTGGTGTGATACAGAAAGATAATTGGCTGTGGAGATGAAGGCACTAATTCTTGTTGGAGGTTTTGGTACTAGACTAAGGCCACTGACATTAAGTGTGCCAAAGCCGCTTGTTGATTTCGCTAACAAGCCTATGATTTTGCATCAGGTAATGATGTATCGTTGTTTTGCTTTGTGCATATTGAATTATATCCCCTAATTCAAAGTAAGTTATCAATAATGAAGCACTCTGTTTATCCAAATGTGTAAACTCATGGTTCAATCCTTTTTCGGCCAAGTTACAACTTGATCTGCCCCATTGAATACTTGATTTTCTGCATGTTATCTTACCTACATATTTAAACGACTCTTCAAAACTATCTTGACAGTCCAGTTTCTAGCTTTGATTATACATATCAGAAAACTCTTTTGAAAAGGTTTAAACCATACTGTATCTTAGATTAAAAACCGAAAATCTGACTAAAACCAGAAGCCCTTTGGAACCTCGACATATTACTGTTACAAATGATGATTAACTCTCTCTCTCTCTCTCTCTCTCTCTCTCTCTCTGTGTGTGTGTATGTGCGTTAGTTTTATGAATTTTCATTTTGACCATTGTATTTGACATTGAATCAGATAGAAGCCCTCAAGGCTATTGGAGTAACCGAAGTAGTCTTGGCAATTAATTATCAGCCAGAGGTAAACTGCTGATTCCTTTTTCTTCTTGCAACTGATCTAAATACTAGTGGACATTGTTACCTGTAACGGACAATTTTTCACAGGTAATGCTGAATTTTTTGAAAGACTTTGAGACAAAGCTCGGAATAAAGATTACATGTTCACAAGAGACTGAGCCTCTTGGAACTGCAGGTCCACTTGCTTTGGCAAGGGACAAACTAATAGATGATTCTGGCAAGCCATTTTTCGTTCTTAATAGTGACGTTATTAGCGAATACCCACTGAAGGAGATGATCGAATTTCACAAATCTCATGGAGGCGAGGCTTCTATCATGGTGACCAAGGTATATATAGAATAATGATTACAAATGTTACCCAAATTACAATTTCAAAATCCAAATTCCTTCTTGGTATTTCTCTCAATTTTGTAAAATGCACCATTTTAGAGGTAATTTGTACAACAAATACAAACTTCAAGGATATGCTTGTAAGTTGTAATAGCTCGATTCTTGTAATTTTTTTACGTGTTTTTCTTTGGTGATTTGGAAAATAAATACATAATTTTCTCGAGTGTGTCTCTGTCTGTGTGGGTAGAATTGAAGCTAACAAATCTCAGGGGTAGCTTTGTAATCATCTTTCTATAAATATAATCAATAGCAGTAATAATTTTTATTTTTTTTTCATTTTTGACCCAAAAGAAGATCGTGAGGACTCCGATTCAAGAATTTAATTTTTCCGTACATATTAATGCAGGTGGACGAGCCTTCCAAATACGGAGTCGTTGTAATGGACGAACCCACTGGCCAGGTCGAGAGGTTTGTCGAGAAGCCGAAGCTATTCGTGGGCAACAAAATTAACGCTGGAATTTACCTTCTTAACCCCTCGGTTCTCGACCATATCGAGTTACGGCCCACGTCCATCGAGAAAGAGGTTTTCCCTAAAATCGCTGCCGAAAAAAAACTGTACGCAATGGTGCTCCCTGGTTTCTGGATGGACATCGGGCAGCCAAGAGACTACATAACTGGCCTCAGGCTCTACTTGGACTCGTTGAGAAAAAAATCGGCCCAGAAGTTGGCCTCTGGGGTCCACATAATCGGAAATGTTTTGGTGGACGAGAGTGCGAAAATCGGGGACGGGTGTTTGATTGGGCCTGATGTTGCTATTGGGCCGGGTTGTGTGGTGGAGTCGGGCGTGAGGCTGTCACGTTGCACGGTTATGAGGGGAGTCCGCATAAAGAAGCACGCCTGCGTTTCGAGTAGCATAATTGGTTGGCACTCGACTGTTGGCCAGTGGGCCCGCGTGGAGAATATGACGATACTTGGAGAGGATGTTCATGTTGGGGATGAAGTTTATAGTAATGGTGGTGTGGTTTTGCCTCACAAGGAGATTAAGTCGAGCATCTTGAAGCCGGAGATAGTTATGTGAGGTTCGTTGCTGCTACTTTTATGTTTGTCGATGTATTTCGATCTTTTGTCTCTCTCTCTCTCTCTCTGTGTGTGTGTGTGTTTCTGAATATACCTTTGTGCAAATTGTAAAATGGAGTCTCTGTTTTGAATGCTCTGGTGTTTTGGGCTTATATAGGAGGCTGTGATGGGGTGTGTACAATGTGTAATGTGCTGAGTAAATACAAATAAACTGTTTACTTAGTAGGTCTGAAGCTATGAACATTGGTAAGTTTTCCATTCTTTTGGATTTATTTTGAAGGATGATCAAATTATGTGGTTATGCAAGATGATGGCTATGAAGTTTATGTCTCAATATTTTTTTGCTTTCTGTTAATCAGCAACAATGAAAAAATATGTGAGCATGTTAGTATACAAAAATTTTCAGTGAAAGTGGATTTTTTTGGTTAACTAGAGTTAATTTGGAAAAAAATAGTATGGTTAGTTAGTGGAATATTAGATTTATATCATAATAATATTTAAAATAAAATAATTAAAGTTGATTTGATGTAAAAGTATGAGAGATATGATATGAAGTGATGGTTAGTTAAAATTATGTGAGTGGATGAATATGAATTAGAATAGATGTGATGTATAAGAATGATTGGACGATATTATTTAATTATATTGATAATATTGAGGTTATTGGAGTTGTGTTTAAGTTGAGTTATATTTTGAGTTATAATGAAATTTTGAGTGAAATTTTTTGTATACAACATGCTCTAATACGCACAGTTTGGCAGAGTACATAACACAATTTGAGTTGCATTCCTAATTCCACCGTGTTACGGCTCGATTTAGTCGAACTAAATTGAATGCTGAAAATAAATATGAATTTTGTATTAGAAATATATTCTTTACGCCAAATATGATGTAATTTAAATAATCAAATCAAGAATGATTTATGAGAAGATGTTTAATAATATATGATTATATGTCTTAATATTAATATTTATGTAAATAAAATAATAATGTATTATCCCCTCTATATATTATTGTAGAATGTGTTGAGTTTAAGTTGCATGATCTCATGCTCCGGAATCATATGTGACAATTTTTCATGCTTTGTCATTTGGCTTGGATGAATTTTAATTTATTTTCAATTATAAAATAATTATGTTTGGATAGCCATAAATATACTAGATATTTATGGACATTTTTTAGAACATTAATATTACATTTCCTATTCTAGCCGTGATTTATAAGACATAACTTTTTTATTATTAATAACTTAAATTATAAGTAGATTTAAAGGTTAATAACATTTTTATTTATTATTAATTTTTCATACAAAATATATGAAACTAATCATGTCTTGATGAACTTCGATTTGACATTTATATTGTACACACAAAATAAAAAATAATTACTTTTATCTTTATAAAAAAGTAAATTACCTTTTAATCCCCTCTATATATTATTACAGAATGTGTTGAGCCTAAGCGGCAGGATCTCATGCTTCAGAATCCTATGTGGCAATTTTTCATGTTTTGTCATTTGGCTTGGATGAATTTTAATTTATTCTCAATTAAAAAATAATTAGGTTTGGATAGCCATAAATATACTAAATATTTATGGACATTTTTTAGAGCATTAATATTACATTTCTTATTCTATCCATGATTAATATAACAAAATAACTATTGTCTGTTAGCCTTTTTGACCAGCACCGGGTAGAAGACCCGTTCGGGAAAAATCGGGCTATATAAAAATTCATACGAACTTTGAACCGGTCCTTTTAAGACTCGGTAAATTGAATACTGAAAAAAGTCTTCTCCTACTAAGCCTACAAACTCAGAAAAGGAGCGACCCACCATCACTAGCAAGTCATCTCTCTATTCGGTTGGTCTTAGTGTTGTTAAATTAAACGAGCCTAGCTCGGCTCAGCTCGAGCTCGACTCGTTATGGCTTGAGTTTGGCTCAGCTTGTTTAATAAACTAGTCGAGTTTGAGCTAATTTAAAGCTTGTTTAGTTAACGAACCGAGCTCGACTCGAATCGATTCGATAAGACTCGAGAAAAGAATTTATATATAATTTTCTATAGTATGATTCGTTAAAACTCGAGATCGACTCGAACTCGACTCGTTATGAGTGATAAACGAGCCAAGTTCAAGCCCGATTTCAAGCTCGTTTATTTAACGAGCCTAGCTCGAGCTCGGATTGACTCGATTACATCCTACTGTTCTTAAAAAATGTTGATCCAACTTTTGTATTTGAAGAATCTTGCGTAAATGCAAAATTATTAAAGCATACTGATAACCACTCAATATGTCTCCTCGTCAAAAGTCAATCGAGGTTCGATTTTATAAAAACCCTGGCTAAAACCCTTATCTCACTGCTTTTCTCAACACAAAAATGGCTCTAAGCCATACGATTCGCAGAGCAGCTTCGAAAGTTGTACCTTTGGCGATCTGGGCTACCGCCGGGAGTCAAGGGTACATACACCACCAAGCAGCGCCGGCACTTTCGTCCGCCGTCAGCCGCCCCTCGCGTAATCTCTTGCAAAGGTCATTTCTCCACCTTAATAGCAAGCCCGACTGTGACTTGTCACTCCTACGAGTTATTGAGGCCGAGATTAAGTTTTCCATCGAGTCTGAGGAAGCGTTCCAGGTCCTTTCAGTAGCTATTGCTTAATTCTGTTTTTATTTCTTGTGAGTTGTGACCTTTGTAAAAGGGGAAAAAACACATGTTTGTTTCTGTTAAACTTTCGTACAAATGCGCATATGACTCTTTTAGATAGTATTATTTTGTTTATGTATCTGCCGAAATGGGTTTTGTAATGTTTACCGGTTTCTCTACATTGTCACGGTTCGTTTTCGATATCTCTTGGATTTTGTGTCATGGTTGCATTTCAATTGGGGATTGTTTGAAAATAAAAATTGAATCTTGTACAAAATCCTTACCTTTGGTGATCAAGTGTGATAGGAAGTGTATATATATTCTGTGGCCTTTTTGACATATTTTAAAACTAATCCAAATTTGCTACATCCTTTGGCTGAATCTTCCCTTTGTCCTGCAATCTTTTGAGTTAGCTTTGATCTGTTTCGATTTAGAGTAAATTACTGTGCATAATAATCACTGGTTTGGCTCTCTCATGGACTCGAAAATCTGTTGAGAAGTGCAAAGTTATAGCATTTAGCCTTTACAGCATTTAGAACATGGAGATAAAATGCCACTGGATTTATCTTATGCTATAGCTCCATAATCTCATTAAGCATCTCTCTTCAATCAATCCAATCCTTAAGCTTAATGAATTGCTTAAGTTCATTGTTGCTCTTGTTTAAAGTGAAGCTTGTCGTGTAAGTGGCTCAAGCTATTCCAAACCGTTTGCTGTTTTTTCTGATTTTTGCTTTATTTCATAGCCGGAGGAGACCCCAAAGGACTTTCCCTTCGAAATTGAAGACCAACGTGGACAGGGGACTATAATATTGAGAAGAGAATTTGTAGGAGACAAAATAACTGTTGAAGTTCACCCGCCTGAACTCAAGAATGCTGAGGACGATGAAAGCTACAATGAAGTTCCGAGAATCCCATTGGTTGTTAAGATCTCACATAAGAATGGACCCGCGTTAGAGTTTGGTTGTATTGCTTACACTGACGAGATTTTGATCGAACGCTTGGCCTTTAAGCTTCCTGAGATCTCTGAGAATCAGGTTGCTTACGAAGGACCTACTTTTGAGTAAGTTTCGTTCAAATGTGGATTAAAAGTAACTGAGCTTTTTACCTAAACATGAAAATGAAAAAGAATATATATATACACTTTTTGGAAACTTCAATATAAAATGCAAACCGGGAGGGATATTATTTGTAAAATCACTGGTGGTTTTGGTAATTAGTCTGTTACAACGAACTCTGGTAGAAGTATGGTTTACTTGGATTTGTATGATAATTGAATGTCAAGAGATGCATGCTAGTTCTTGCCTGTTCTCAGTTGTTTTCTAGTTAGATGCTGTTAGTTATCTTTTCTTTTAAGGGTTTGTGAACACTAATAAGACTTGTGTTATGTTGTGGTGATTTCCGTGTTATGTGTTTTTCTCGACTCAAATGGATCCCATTTTTCATCAGTGATTTGGATTATACTCTGAAGAATGCTTTCAACAAGTATCTCGCATTTAGAGGAATCGATGCCAGAATAACCAAGTTTTTGGTGGACTACATGATCAACAAAGACTCAAGGGAGTACACCGAGTGGCTCAAAAACATTCAGAAGTTTGTTTAGTCTTATGTTGCTGAGGATTATTTGGAAATTTATTGGCTCTGATGGAATTTCTCTCGAACAAGGTTCTTTTCAATCTACATCTGCATTACTGCTAATGAGATCTTTAGCTAGTTTCGAGACATTATAAGTACTTTTGAACTCAATGTGCTAGCGGTGGCAAATATATAATCGTGCCTGTCCTGAAATGTGAATTGCATGGAGTGGGAATATTTTTACTAATGGCTCGAGCTTTATTTTTTAAAAAATTGTATGGAATTAAATACTGTTTAACTCAGATTATGGCATGAAACCTTGGGGCATGGCATGCTTTCATGCCTTCCTGTTCATAGTGCATTTGTCATTATATTCTGATGCTGATGCTTACACAATCAAATATTAGCAGGAATCTTTTTGGTAGTTAGATTTACTGTGTGATCTGTTTTTATGTTTTTGTTTGTTCGGTTTGGTTTTATTTAAAACTTGGTCCAATTTGCTCAGTGTATTTGCAAATTTGCAACCTATTCTGAGGTACAAGGACAATTATTTATTAATAGGTCACAATGTATTTAACTATATATGAAACAGAAGATGTCTGAATAATAAATATATTGTTATTGCATTATATGGAAAATAATATTTTACAACTGTTTTTTATGTCTTTATCTCTTGAGAATGATTTATAAATATCTCATTTGTAACATTATTTAACATATCAAATATTAACAAATTCAAAGATCGCTCAAGAAACCGCAAATAGTTTTTTCACGTAATTCGTGGTAGAAAAACATCTCTATACATTTATAAATATCTCGTTTGTAACATTTTTTAGCAAATCAATTTTTAACAAATTCAAAGATCGCTCAAGTAACCGCAAATAGTTATTTTTCATAAGTCGTTATTGCATTATATGGAAATTAATATTTCACAACTGTTTTTTATTCTTGAAAATGATTTATAAATATCTCATTTGTAATATTTTTTAGCAAATCAATTTTAACAAATTCAAAGATAGCTCAATAAACCGCAAATAGTTTTTCAAATAATTCGTTGCAGCAAAACACTGGACCGCGTAGAGCTTCCCTCAAGGTGTTGCGACTCCCGCCCCAGCGTAGATTCTCGCCGCTCTTGTCGGTTAGTCGTGGTTGGCCGGAGCGTTTGGTGGATGGACGGCGGCCGTTTGGTGACAGACAGAGGCGCCTGTTGTCCGGTGGATTTTGCGAGCTTTGTTGGCTGATGGGGTGAGGGTTGTCGTCCTCCGGTCACCGGTCTTGGGGTGGTCCGCCTGTGAGAAGATTTTTATCGTCTGGGGCAGTGTGAGCTAGCTGTGGCTACACTGGAGTTTCTGGTTCGGTTCTAGGGCTGGAATCCTATTCAGGTGGGCGGCTGTCTCCGGAAGTCGGGTCGTGGTTTGATGCGGTTTGTTTGCTGGTTGAGAGGAGGGTGGTAGTCTTTTATCTAGTGTTTTGTGTTGTGTTTGTGTTTTTTGTTATGTGGTTAGTGTTTTTTATTCTGCTTTGTAGATGTTCTAGTATCCTCTTGTAGGAGTTGTTATTCTCCTCTGGTGGGAGCTTTTTATTCCGTTTGTTTCGTGGATGTGTTAGAGTAGTTCTCTAGGCCCCCGTTGTTGTCGAGGTTCCTCCCTGGATTCACTAGATGGTTGTTTGGCTTGTCTAATTGTTGTATAGTTGTAACTATATGTTTCTTTTTATAAAATTCTATCGTTTTTTTTAAAAGAGAATTGCAATCTTGTAGATCAGAATGTTGAATTAGTTTCTAATAGTATCTATGCTTTGGGTAAAATTTTACTTATGTGGCATGTAAATAGATCTATGTCTTAGATAACATGGGCAAAAATATATAAAAGTAACAAAATTAACTCAAATGCAAAAAGCCTAGGTCTCTCCATGTGTCTAATAGACTTAATGGTAGATCGAGTCTTTCTTTCAAAAATAAAATGGTATATTGAATCTTTTTTTATTTGATGCAATATCAATAGGACTCAGTCCACTTGCACTTATTTTAGAATATATATTTTTCTAGACTAAATCTGTTTTCTATATAACTTGTATATTTTTTTGAATGAACCCATGGATGTTACAAAAACATGAACCCACATATTGTGAATAATTAGTTTCCAAATTCTTTCACACGGCGTATCAATATGTGTTTATTTAAGTGGAATTTAACTTATTTTTTATCCTTATTTATCTTATTTATTTGTTTATGTATTTATAAGATGTGTGTTTATTTATGATGACGTCAATACTTTTTTTACTTTTCTGTTTTGGTAGATGAATTAGCTTCCTATTAAATTAGTTAAAAACATGACCTTGTTTATTTACGTGGACTTTAAATTATTTTCTTAGATGAATTAGTTCCTAAAAACATGATAGCATACAATCATTTTGTATTATCTAAGAATTAGTTTTCAAGAAAATCATTTCGTATTATCCGTAGAATTTCTTTTAAAAAAAGTTTATGGCATGTTGTGGTATAGAATTTAACAACTATAATAAACAACAGAAAAATGCGATTAAAGTGGAAGTAATGTAAATTATAGTATTATTGTTGTCTTTTTGATAGTATAGGAAGTCGGTTGTTGTGTATAACCGAGTTATTTTGTTCATCCATATACCATGTACGTAAAAAGATCCACGTACAATCATAAATTCTGCTATTTATAGTGTGGCGAATTTGACTTTTCGTACGAGGCAAATCAAATCGCATTTAATGTTGAGCAACTTTATTGAAGCGGTCTGTTGTGAAATGATGAGACAACAATGATTACAGTTTTGATAAGTTGCCCAATTAGGAATGCGCCTTGTCACCTTCTTTGGGATTGAGTCACCTCAAACCTCGGTCTGAGTAGATAACGTTCAGGAAAGAATATTTGAGAAGTCGGTTTTTTTGTCTCTTGTGTGAAGTCGGTTTGCTATTTTGAGCAGGTCGGTTATTATTTATACGTGTGAAGTCGGTTGTCTTTTTGCACCGAGATGGGCTAAGTTTGTTGTAGGAACTGAGTCCAGAAGAATATTTGAAGACGATTAATTCTCTTCTAATCTTGATGAATCAAGTTAGCCGTCAACATGACACATAAAAACGATTTAGTTGTATCTTATTTTAAAAACGATTTAGTTGTATCTTATTTTTAATTTTTACGATGAATCAAGTTAGCCGTCAACATGACACATGAAAACGATTTAGTTGTATCTTATTTTTAATTTCTACTGACGTAAAAATACGTTAGAAAAAAAACGATATGATTATAATCTATTTTCTAACGACTTAAAACAATATTACAACAAAAAAAAAAACAATTTGATTATAATCTTAGCGAGTTCAAATAATTTGATTATAATTTACTTTCTAACAAAGTTTTTTTGTGGGAGATGCTATTAAATAATTAACGACTTAAAACAATCTGATTATAATCTACTTTCTATTTTGTAGGACATGACATAAAAAAACGATTAGATACTACACTAGAATTCATACAAATGTTATTATATGTCTTGTAACATTTATTTTTATTTTTCAACTTACATCTGTTGCTATATATATATACTAACATTTATGATTTTGCAAATTATAACAATATTAAATGTGTTGTTATATATATACTAACATATATAGCGTATTTTTTTATATATATTTTCTGATAGATGTAATGATTGGGAATTAAACCTAGAATACTATTTTAGTCTTTTTAATAACATCTGAAATTTTAGATGTTTTTTGAATAGTATACATACTTTGAAGCGTTTTGAACATGTTTTTAAAAAGCAACATATATTTTAGTGTTTTTAGTTATCCACGTTGATGAGGTTGAGAAATTTACATGGAATTCAAACACTCCTCCATAGTATTCGTGATGATAATCTTATTTTAAATTAATGTACGATCCTCCAAATATATGATGAAGAGTAATTTTATATTAAATTAATTTACTGTAACTACGTGACCCAAAAATTTAGATTATAATAATTACTTAATATTGTTAATTAATGTACGATCTTCAAATTTCATGATGACAGATAATTTTATTTAATAAACTAATTTACTGTAAATCAAACCCAGCATTTAATTGATAATAATAATTTTAATATTATTTATCCATACATAACTAGTTTACTCAAAATCGACCCAATCCAAGGAATTTGAAAATATACCCCATTTTGTGTATGACAATTAAAAAAACGATTGAAACTGACCATGCAATTCCTTATTCTCAAGATATACATGATGCAGGTGTTTTTATTGATCCAATATTTAAATTACATATTATACAATAAAAAACGTATTATCTCATCAGCAATTAGTTGTATAAAATACAAATTGGTCTTAGATTATTTTCTATAGATTCTTATAACACGCGTATGTGCAGATTTTCATAGACTGGTCAGGTGCTTAAATACAACAAGCATGAGTTTGTTGATTCTTCTTTTACATTAAAAATGAACAATAACATTAATTTTCATATCCATTCTCATACGATACAAGCATCAATATTTTCCCAAGTCAAACTGGTGTGCTCTTTAGCAAAAGCTCACGTCAATGCACAGTCAAAGTTGTCAGAGAATGAATGCCAATTGTCTATGATTAAGAAGAAGGTAAAATGGTAGAGATTAGAAATAAAAAAGAGCTGCACTAAAAATTTTATGGACTACTCTTCATTTCTTTTTATATTAACTCTTACTAGTCTTATTTATGAAAAAATCTCTCTTTATCTCCAAGGTTCAAGTGGTGCATTAAAAGACGAAAATCATAGTTAATATATTGAAAGTAAATTAACTCCAAGTGGAAAGAAAATTCAATGTGAATACTTCCCGCCTTGAGCAATCCTCCTCTTTGAGCCTTCGATGACCTGCAGCACACCGAGAAGGCTCAATAAATATAAAATAAATAAAGCGTGGATTGCGTGTTTGAATGAGAGAACATGCCGTCCTTTTATAAGATTTAATACTTTGGGGCCAAAGAAAGATCTTGTTAGGAAAGAGATCCAACCAGATTCTACTTCCCTAACTTACCACATCTCTATCTTGGTAAGCAGTTCTTGAGCAAGCAATTCTTTCCCCCTTCTACTTGGATTCTTTCCCCTTTTACTGTTTTAGCCCATGGTTCCTCATGTTGTAAATTCGACCTGTTGATCTGTTTACCGTAGTCTTTTCGAGGACGTACGTACATGACCTCATCCTAAGGTCTGAACCGACCTCGTCTTTAGGTCTAACTTGTCCTCAGACCACTAGACCTCGATATATCGAGGTCGGTTACTTTGTCGGGCTCCTAGAGGTCGGCACCTCCAGGTCATGTCTGCTCTGTACGCTCGGTATCTTAAGCCCTAGTCCGAGCTACCTGATCGAGCATCTTGCTTCTATATGAAGGAGTTCTTTTAACCCAGTTTTAGCCAAGCTACTCTCTCAGACCGGTGCGCTGAGCTACTTCTGAGTGCCTACAATAGGTTAACAAATACAAGCAATTCAATGAACAATTAAAATTTACTCTATTTGTAAAACACATTTACACTCATTTTAATTACGAAACATGCCATCTAGATATCTCTCAATTAGATTGTAATCACAATATAATAATTATTATATATTTTACTAATTACTAATTCAATAATATTAATTTACTGCTTCACAAAGACGAAGAACGTTGCATATAACAAAGTGTCTATTAATATTTAATCGTTATAGATTTATATGAATTACATCCCATCTAGATATCTATCAATTATATTATAATCACAATATAATAATAATAACTTTATACTTTACTAATTACTGATTCAGTTGTTATTAATTCAAAACATTAATATATTGATTCAAAAAGATGAAAAACGTTGTGTATAAAAAAATGTTCACTAATATTTAATCGTTATAGATTTATATAAATTACTATAATTTTTCTTTTAATGATTTGTTTTTCACACGGGTAAATGTACTAGTATGATTTATATTGAGTGTCTAGTGACTAGTGTTTAACATGGGATTTGGAACAAAAAACGCTGTGAAGACTCAGAAGCAAAACACGCTTTGTAACGGAGTTGGTTTTCTGTTTTCGAGGTTCAAAAAGCTTTTCAGAAGAAAAAACAACCCAATCTTTTCATCCACCTTTCTCACTCACCAACCGTGGCCGCGCATATACGTGCGCCTCTGTATGTGTATCTATTCACAATTTCAGACCCTTGAAGCCTTCGTGCTAAATCAGAAGAAATGTCTCCAGGTTCGCCCGTCAAAACTCATTCCACCTTACGGTTTTTTCCTTACTGATTATATCAATTACATTGCTGCAAAAAATAAAAAAAAAATAATAAAAAAAAAAATTAGAGAAATCATGTTATTCTGTTTGTTTCCGTGTTATGTAAACTGCTTCAATGCGCACTTGAAGTCAGTTGGGCGTTTTTCCTGAATCGACGTATTTCTGTTGTTGATGATGATGGGGATGACGATGATGTGTGTGTATTTATTGTAATATATCTATAAATATGGCGGGTTTCTGATTATTGGGCATTGTTAAAGTTGGGAATGGATCAGAAATTTCAGCGTTGTCCAAGTATGACGAGGCAATGGATGCTCTGTCTTCACTGATAACAAAGCGCAGTCGTGCTGATAAGAAGAACAAAGGCGATCGTTTCGACTTATTGTTTGATTATGTGAAGGTATCTCTGTTTTCCCTGAATCCAATGCATGTCATTTGTTGTTGTGTGAAAGGGGTATAACACACACACACACACAAAAGTATATTCCTTGTATCTAGTCTTTTACTTCAACCCTTCTGTCTTCTTTACATGGTGAAATGTAGATACTGGAATTAGAGGAACAGATAAAAGAGATGAAGATTATTCACGTGGCCGGCACTAAAGGAAAGGTGGGCTAATGAATTCAAATTGTGTTTTTCAGTTTCTTGGAATTTGAGTTGAGGGAAGTCTGGTGGTCTACTTTTTCGACTTTTGTGTTAATTTCGATATTGAATTTGCTTCCAAGAAGTGTTATTTTCAGCTATATAAGCACTGATACGGCTTTTGTTTCATGTTCCTGAATATGAAGGGGTCAACTTGCACTTTCGCAGAATCTATTCTGCGAAATTGTGGCTTCCGTACTGGATTGTTCACCTCCCCTCACCTCATTGATGTTCGAGAAAGATTTAGGTTGGATGGGTACGTGCTTACAAATGGCAGACAAGTAGAATGTTTGCCTCTCAACATATTAAAGAGGGTTTTCTTTTTATTTCTACTTGCATCTTCTGTAAGCTGGGTTCAAGTACGAAAGAATTCGATCAGTTCATATTTTTATTGGTTTGTTTATTTGTTTTTCTTTGATATTTCAGTTTAGAGATTCCTGAAGATAAGTTTTTGGCATACTTCTGGTGGTGTTGGGATCGGCTGAAGGCATGTTCGGTCCTTTATTCTACTATATTATTCTGTCATAATGGTTCTTATATATTTTTGTTTTTTAAACTCTATTATCTGACTGCTTTAAAATAAAAGCTTGAGTTTTACTTCTCTGTATTATTTCCTTGTGCTTTAATTCAGAATACAAACTCTTCATACCAAAACTTGAGAAATAAAACAGTATCTATTTTTACGACTATTTCCTTTAGAAATGTAGTACATAATGGTCTCTTATTAAGATGCTAGTACCCTTTATTCAGTTGCACGCCTCTTGGGCAGCCGTTCGCATTTTGTAAAGATCTCAGGACTATGTACATGAGCATCATGTTTATGTATTTCATCACCGACAATCCAGTTTAAATGTTCAGAGCCTAAACTGTGAACACATATAACTAAAGCATAAAAGTCAGAGAAACGTTTCTTTGTTGCACATAAACTGAAAGTTCAGATGAAATTTCTTTGTTTAGGTGGATTACTTATTCAAATATCAGACTGAGACTGAATAACTGTGTTAACCTCTCTGCTAGATAGGTAATCCCTCTGCTTGATAAACTAATATTTAGCAATCATGTAGGTGAGATGGCAAGATGGTCAAACTTGATTCTTTGTTTAGATTGATTAATTTTTCACTGTATTAGTTAATAAATAAGCCAAGTCTAACTTTCCGGCAGAAAATAAGTTTCTTAAAGCACTGACAAGTATATTGAATAACCTATTGTTTGATATTAAATTTCTTAAACCACTGATAAGAAATTTGTACTTTGGTTTATTGGCATGTGATACTGGTCCTATGCTTCTGATGGGCCTGCTTGTGCTTCATTATTCCTTATCAATGTAGGAAAGAACCTCTGATGAGATACCCATGCCAACATATTTTCGTTTCCTTGCCTTGCTTGCCTTCAAGATTTTTGCAGCTGAGCAGGTGATATTAGCTGTATTATCTTACTCCGCTGAGTTGTTTTCTGAAATTGTGTTCTCATTTCATATTATTGTATCCAGGTAGATGTTGTCATTTTGGAAGTTGGTTTAGGTGGAAAATTTGATGCTACAAATGTGGTATGTATTGGATACTCATTTAGAAATGACACTATTGTCATATTTAGACTTGTTATTTCTTGTAAAAAGGTTTCTGGTTTGTGGATGTTGGGATCATTATGATTGTGTTCTTTTCAGGTTGAGAAACCAATTGTCTGTGGTATAGCTTCTCTAGGGTATGACCACATGGAAATTCTTGGTTAGTGCTTTCTCTCCATGATATTTAGGTAACTGCCTGATCTGAGTAATTAGCTTAAACTTTGACATGAACAACTAGGGAGTGGACATTTTCTTTAGTTAGAAGAAGTAAGGTTTAAAAATATTATGTGTGCATCTTTCTAGAGAGTGGGGGTGTCTGCAGCATATTTATACTCATTTCTTAAGCGTGGTTTGTAAAATAAAACCAAATATCAAGGGGCTAGAAAATATTGTAAATAACTAGATCATTTATAAAAAAAGGATCCTGGCCAGACTAGAGGGAATTCAAAAGAGTCGAGCTAGAAATGATTCGGGGCATTTATTTAGTAGGGGTAATTAGTTTAAAACTATAAGGAAATTTTAGTAACTGTAATAAGTTGTTGAAAATTGCGAATGGAGTTTGGTTCAATGATACTTTTTTAGATCTTCTATGTACCTGGCCACCAGGTTGATCTCAAAGCTGAAAATGACGTTGTAGTTCACTTGCCTTTTCCTTTTTTTGTTTTCCCATTTTTCTTCTTCTTGCCTACCAAAGTTCTACGATTTGGTATCTGGAGCGGTTTCGCTCAACTTCACAGATGATGGATATGTTTCTTTGTTCTCACAGGAGATATTTCTATGTTCTGACACATTTATTTTATAAACTTGCTCAGGTAATACCCTTGGACAAATTGCTGGGGAAAAGGCTGGGATTTTCAAGGTATGATGATTCACGTGCTTCTTTTGTCATGATCACTAATTTTTGGAGTTGTCAAATGTTTGTGTTACACGAGCATCGTAATGCAAGTGGTTTGCTCAACCTTCAGGAGGGTGTTGAGTAGCACTTGAGTCTTTGAGCTTCTTTGATTCTACTCCTCCCTACTTGAAAAAAATAATGTCAATTTCCTTTTTCATGGCATTGGTTTTGCTTAATCCAGGTTTTTTTTTTCCCTTTTATATAATTAGAGTGGTGTTCCAGCCTTTACTGTACCACAGCCAGAAGAAGCCATGATGGTCCTTGAACAGAAGGCTTCACAGCTGGATGTAAGTTACAATTTCTCCCCACTAGCTTTAGTTACATGCTGAACTAGAATTGTGGGTTTCAAGTCTCAGCCTTAAGATTTATCATATACCTTTATGGCAGTGCCTGATTTATGTCTTGCTAAGGATAAGTCGTTGCTTCTACTATGAACAAGTAGTAATTGTCGTTAATATTAGATCCCAAAGGTGTGAAATTATATGGACTAGGATCGAATGATCGAGGACCTGTCTTTTCTTGAGGAATTTCATCAGAGCAAATTGCATAGGATGGAAAAAGATAGCTCTAGATTAGCAATTAGATATAGATTTTAACAAATTACTCAGTGTTCGCGTTATCCAAAATTCTTGATAACTCGTTCACCCTTCAAATAAAGAATGTACTCTTGGTTTCTATGATGGTTTTTTACGTAGTGGGCTGTTGCTCAAAGTTCTTTCCCGCCAGATTTGTTTGTCTGTCATTTTGAGCTAATATATTCACCGAGTAAGCTATTACATTATACTACGAGCAGGTAAATCTTCAAGTGGTTGATCCTTTAGATCCTAGCCTGCTAAGTGGTCTACATCTAGGACTTGAAGGGGACCACCAGTATTTGAATGCGAGCCTTGCAATTGCACTATGCTCAACTTGGCTTCATAAATCCGGCCATGTTGGAATCAATTACTTAAATCAGACTGTAAGCTCAAATGAACTATGCTGTATATTATTATTAATGCATTCCTGTATGTAAGAAATTATTCTTCTGTTTGGCGACGTGCATGCAGACCTCTATACCGGAGGAGTTCATTAGGGGATTAGCTACTGCTTCTTTGCAAGGTCGTGCTCAAATTGTCTCTGATCAGTTCATTGAGAGTGAGAGCTCAGGTGATCTTGTGTTCTACTTGGATGGTGCGCATAGTCCTGAGAGCATGGAGGTATGTGCAAAATGGTTTTGCCTTGCGACCAAGGAAGATTGTAAATCTTCTTATAACCAATCTTATTGTGACTCTGAGAGACTGCATGAATCAGAAAAGAGTGGGCCATTCAGAAAACATTCAACTCAGGTTAGATATTCTTATAAAATATTACTTTTATTGTAATGAAGTTTCAGAAAAGTTAGAATCTGTGTGTGTCAAGTCTATTGAGTTTTTCATGATTCAAAGCATCTTAGCGACCTTTGCCAATTTTTTGAAAGCAAGCAAGATGATGATATATATGTTTTTATGGAACTGAGGTGGTTCAGAAGGGGCATTTTGTAGTTACTACTGATAAAAGCGTTTGTTTGTGTAAGACCAAACTCCTTCTATTTACGTGTCAATTTGGAGTTGACACCTACCTCTAGATAAAATTGCAGACTTGCGTATTTTATTCTGTTTTCTATAACCAAGTACACGTGTCATTTGAATGTTCAGTATCTGCTCATCACAGCTGTCATATCTTGTTCAGTGATCCACTACACTTGCGATTCTACATTTGTGGTTGTTTGATAAATCTGTTTTGGTTGCATCACTAGCTTCAGTTTAAAGTGGAGAGAAGTTCCATGAAACTCCCCAAATGCATTAATCCAACAATTTTATTTAGCAGTTATAAGGAATGTGTAATGCCAGGGAAATGGTTATAATTTTAAAATAGAAGAATTTGAATAATATAATAGACAATTTCAGATGTGTTACAAGCTAGGTCTTTTAGAGTTGTGGAAACCAGTGTGTGTTTTATAACCAAAATTCATTCTATATTCTTTCCATAATAAACGAGTTAGTCTCTAATGGATGGTAGTGAACTTAATTTGCTCTCAATCGTGCAGATATTGTTGTTCAATTGTATGTCAGTGCGGGACCCTCAATTGCTTCTTCCACGCCTCATGNCAAAAAGGGCAAACCTATAACAAAAGAAACAAATCAAGGCACCATCTTCTGATGCTCTATTGTATTGATGCTTTCAGGAGTTCACTTTAAAAAGGCTTTATTTGTTCCAAACACATCAGTGTATTACAAGGTGGGTGCTGTTGACTCACCTTCAGTGGACACTCAAATTGACGTGTCTTGGCAGATAACTCTTCAGAAATTATGGGAAAGTCTCATTCATGGGGAAAAAGGTATATTAGTTCTCTGTAGTTCTGATGTTTGATTGATTTAAAAACCTTCCTGTTCGTGGAGCCGAGCAGAGTGGAATACATCTTCCAAAATGTTGCACACAGTAAAGTTCACTTTCATTTGCTTTCTTTTGTCTGTTCTGTTCATTTCCTTTACAGATTGAACACACTTTAGATGTTGATGTTATATTAAATAAATTTCATTTTATCTCAAAATTTTACAGGACGAGAAGTAAAGAATGCAGATTTGACGTGCGAAGCAATTGTTGAAGATACAGAGAAAAGTAGTAATTGTGAGAACAGCACAGTTTTCACTTCACTCCCTCTAGCTATTAATTGGCTTCGGGACAATGTTCGCAGAAATCAATCTGTTCGCTTTCAGGTAATGTTTAATTTTTCTTGCGAATGAAATTTATTTTATTTTTCATTGAATTACAATTTCAAATGCACTATATAGCAACCCTTGTTTTTCTTGCTTATGAAATTTATTTTATTTTTCGCACTCGTTTTATCCGTACACTGTAGTTTCACTTCTATCTTTGCTTTAATAGGTTCTAGTGACGGGTTCATTGCATCTAGTTGGTGATGTATTGCGTCTAATCAAGAAGTGAAGTTTCTCTGCATTTGATTTTTTTCATTCTCGTTCCTGATTATGAAGGCTAAGTATTCATTGGCTGGTTACCTTCTCCAAAAAGTATCCATACTGATACATTTTGAAGTAGCAGTTTTGCTTCTGCAACTGTACCCGAAAATTTGTCCTTTCTGTTATAGATGATATTGAGATTAAGTTCTTCGATTCATAGTTATAGTTGAAACGAAAATTCATTTTCTTAATTATAAGTTCATATATAACTATTTGCATTCTTTATTTTTATGTTTGGAGTATGTATATTTATTATTTATTAAGCATATATGGGCTGCATATCCCTCTATATATTAATTTAGAACGTGCTGAGTGTAAGTGGCAGGCTCACATACTTCGGGATCCTATGTGGCAAAATTATATGCTGCTTGGGCAGGTTTTAATTTACATCCAAACCAAAAATAATTAGGTTCGGATTATCTATAAATATGTTGATTATTTATGGTCATGTTACATGTATTAATTGTATTTTAATATCATTTCTTATTATAACCATTGAATTGTAAATATATTTTAAAAGTTAATAACTTTTATATTTTTTTATATGTAAATTTTTAGTTTTACATATATAATATATCAAATTAATCATTTCTTGATAAGCTTCGATTTAACATCAACATTGTATGTATAAAACAAATAAATTATATTTATTTGTGTAACAATAATAATTTTTTTTTTAATATTCATTCGAAAAATAAAAATATTTATCAATTAATATATTTATATTTTAAGTAGTTATATGATATAAGTTATAAAAATTACTATAATATAACACACTTAAATCGCACAAGTAACAAGTGTCATTCTAAAATATATAATAATATATATTTTTTGTAAATAAGTAAATAAAATTAAAAATAATTTTTCTCATTAATTTTAAAATTTAAAAATAACTTTTTAACAAGTATCCGTGTAATACACGGGTGTTGTAGTAGTGTTTGTTATAAATGAAAATCTATGTTTATTAAAGTATACAGGAGACATAGTAGGGCCATTGCGAGCTAAATTTGTTAGATATATTATTTCAACAATATACAGTTGGTCCATTTTGCTCTTCTTAATTTCACCTCTAGGCTAAAATTTGAAAACAGAACTATGATGGAAATGCATAGCGCCTTGCATAAGTTCAACTTTACTCAATTTCACAAGTACCGAACTAACTAAAGTCCAATCCTGGGTCAAAAACATGATCCACCTTAAGCAAAACAATCTGCCAAACAGTTTCAAACAGTGTCGATAGTTTCCATGCTCAGAAGGTTAAAGGATTGTAGAACCAAACAAAAAAGACAAACGAATGAGTTCAAAGCAACTGGCCCTCAATGGATGATGCTTCTCGCAATTTAGTTTGATAGTAAATGACGATATCCCTACCTAAAGATATATCATAAAACAAAGAACCTCATTCATGAAGGCTCTCCAAGCAATACTCGAACAAAAGTACACAAAGTTGACCCTTTCTAGGTGCACACGATATTGTCTTAATCTTGCAAACAACTTTATCTTCCAACACCCTTTTCAAAAGGGGTGAAGTAGGATGAGCACAACTTCCAACTTTTACACACTTCAAAGTTGGCACCTATAAACATTCATTCAAAAGGCAACTTCTTGAAATAAAAGCTTTAATCTTTACTCTTGTGGGTTTTCCAGGGAGGTGAAGATGTAACTTTTTCCTAATTATAAAATGATGGTTCCTGTCAGGAGAAAAAGGCAACCATAAGAATTAAGCAAGCATAGCAAGAAAAACAGAGAAATCTGAAGCTATTTTTATTCTAAGATGATTTAGGAGTCGATCCATATACAAAACCAAACACAACAGATAGAAGATCATACAGTAATAATGTGAACCCTCAATCCAAGATGCAACTTCAGAGATTATTGTAAGTTAATGGGAATCACTACGTTTTGGATTTACAGGTCCAAAGGATAGGATTGTATAAAAGCATCATTTTACTCTACAAAGGGTTGATGAACCAATTTATTCTTTTTATATGGTAATGTATGAGCATGGTAGCCTAAACAATGATGAATCATTCCAGCATATAAACTTTTACCGTTGTAACTGTTACTGTCGTAAATAATGAGATGTTAAGTAAACAAAACTTCGATAAAATACTCGAAAAGCTACAAAATTGTACAGAAACATCTCCAAAAGAAATGGGACTTTAAAGTCAAACTAGAAGTAAGCTTACTGGTAATCTCACTAATTAAATAAAATTTGTGTAGCACTATTAACAAACTACACTGCCTTAACCCAAGAAATAAACATCTCCCAGGGTTATTCTCGCCTTATTATCATGTTAGTGTTGTCCTATATCTCACGTGTTAATTAATATTACTAGACAACGGAAAATGTTGATCTCTTCAAAAGGCTTCCAGAAATATACACCACTTTCCAAATCCCACGCCTCTATCCTTCTTACAACCCAATCTTTGACTATCTTTGAAATAAATATGAAAAGACGGACAGAATTAAGTGAAGGACTATGCATTACATTGAAAATATTCTGTTTGGAAATAATTTAGTGGCTGCTGCAAATAGTACAACTAATTTAAGGGCAGACATCGCATGAATATTAAAGGTGTATAAATTGCAGTAACTGAATATATTTTTGTGCTGATGTATTGCCTTTTATATTTGGCTTCATTAAAAATGACTATATGACACCGCTGATGTGTTCTTTACTTCTTTAGGCCATGAAGGCAGTGATAGACCAAGAAGTAAACAATGTCAATATATTAAATTCTGCATGGTTTAATGCAATTACTAAATCAAAGTTTCTAAGGTGTGACAATTGACAGCCTTTTGTTTACTTCCTTCAGTACTTCTAAATTCTAATACAGTGCATCACATTACTGATGCTTACTTTATCTAGGCAACAGAACATCTTTAATTTTTTTTTCTCCAACTCAAAGACATGCATTAAGACAATTCTTCTATAAACAAATTAGACCATACAGCTGTGTCTACTGCAAACAAAAGGTAGCAATTAAGAACGAAAACAATCTTATGTTATACATAAAACTCAACTACTATATGTCATGTTGTCAATACGAAATGTAATACCATGCAGAGATCCAGGAAATCAAGCATGGCACACCAAATCACAAAACATAATACTTTTTATTGGTTTGTCAAGTACCAGGTCTTGCGACCTTTTCTTTTTCCTCAAATGCACTTTTGCTTTTCACGTTTGAGAGTCAAAAAACAATTTTTAGATTCTCGCTGTACCATGCAATTAGTTCATAAATAATTATTATTCAATGACATGAGCCCCAACCTTAGATATATTAAGCAATAGTGAAGCATCACAATTTAGTGGACATCATGAACTTGTTTTTCCTGTCGGCTGGCTTGAGAATCTGAAAAGAACACATCAGGTTTTCATCAACACTCATCATTGCACCAGCATTGTCAAATTCGCCACAATAGTTTGGAGCCGAAAAGATCGTAACAAGCTGCCGATCTGCAAAAAATTCATACCCATCCTCCACAACCTGTCAATAAAAAAAAGCATTGGTTGGTTAAACATCCTGAAATTGCAAAATATATATAAAAAAAAAAAGAAGAAAAAAAGGCAAACATAACCTGATGAGCACGACAGACAAGATCCAAATCTTGCTTCATCAAGAACTCCGAGACTTTTTCCGGGCCAAAAGTATAAGAAACCCCTCTATCATTCATTCCCCATCCCTTAGCATCTTTATCGGGATCTGACCAGAGCAAGTCGCAAAGTAAGCCAGTGTCCGGGATAGCAGTCGGGCGAGGCAAGTGTCTAATCTGGTCAAGATTGTTAAGATCAGGGGAAAGTCCTCCATGCATGCATAGTATCTTATCATCGATAAGGGCAGCCACAGGCAGACAATTAAAGCAATCAGTGAAGGCTTTCCATAATTTCACATTGAACCTGCGCTTGCACTCGTCATAAAATCCATATATCCTGTTTATGGATGCGCATTCGTGGTTTCCTCTAAGCAGGAAAAAATTTTCGGGAAATTTGATTTTGTACGCAAGTAAGAGACATATTGTCTCCAGGCTCTGTTTACCGCGATCGACATAATCACCCAAGAATAGGTAGTTGGATTTCGGAGGGAAACCTCCGTACTCGAAAAGCCTTAGAAGATCACTATATTGTCCATGGATGTCACCTGAAATATGTATAGACAGTTTAAACTGCTTAGAAACAAGCCAGCATCCAATCCAAGTTAACAAAACTGACATTGAAAGAGTGCTGAAGATCAATTTACCTAACATAAGTTGAGAAAAAAAAAAAAGAAAAAGAGAAAGATAGAAAGGAAAAGAAAAGAAACAATGGGTGGGTGGGTGCACCACTGCAAAATGAAACATCAATATCTCCAAACAATTAAAAATCCAAATGGCTTTTAGAAATGAACTCTATAACGCCAGTTTCTAGAACTGTGGGAGCAAAAAAGATCAGAAATTCTACGGAGGCAGTGATCATCCATAACTTGATTTAATTGACGCATATATCAAGTGTATTTATATTAGGACACATGTCAGTCCACTGTTTGCGGATAATCATTGATGATGGATCTATAAGGCGTGTGCCATTTAATGGATCCATAGGAAAACTACAGAAAAGATACACGGCCACTAGCTATGTAGATGTTCCGGTAAGGTTACTTCACACAAGTAATACAACAAAAATCCTCAAAGGGTTTATCAGATTAAGTTAGGTATAAAGGTTGAAGAAGTTTAACAAACAGTCATGGAATTCGATAATCCTCACACACACAAGCAACAATTTTCTAAACATTCCTAAAAAGGAGAGGCAGTATACTCTGAAATATCACCAAATCCAAAAGCTAGACATTCATAACCTTCATGCCAGAGAAGAAAACGGAAAATAAAACCCTTGAAGCTTTACAATAACACCATAACCCTAAAACAAGCAAACATCACGGATCAAGAAAACCCTAACATCTTTCAGTATCACGAAGTCCACCAAAAAATATACATAAAAAAGAGAAATAAAATAAAAAGACCACATCTTCACACATAAAGCAAGGTACTTTGCCCACGCACACCCTCACACACAGAGCCCGAAAAAAAAAAAAAAAAAAAAAGAGACTGAAAGACCAAAACTTGTACCACAAATCTTTATGGGTGCCTCAAGTTCAAGAAGATTTGGCTGGGCAGCGAAAATTTCACGAGATGCAAAACAAAGCTGCTTAATCTCGGACTCTGCAAGCTGCACAAGTTTCCCTGGCTTTGAGGATCGTACTTCAATAAGCTTCTCAATAATCCTATCCAACGCCGCAGGGTCCATCGGGTGCCCTGTCGTCCACCACAATCAGTCAATCACCTCCCTTTGTGCTTTCTCCCCTTTTGGGTATTTGTTTAGGCTTTCGCTTTTCACACACCCACAGGCATGAGTGGGTGAATTCCTGGGTTTTGAATATGAACAGTTTTTTGGGTCTACGCTGCTCTTGACCTCTCAACTTTGTCTGTGTGTAATTTCGGTATTTAATTCTGTATTTGGACTTTTTTTTATTCTATTCCATCTTTTTTTGTGGCTTTTGACGGTGGTCCAGTCCATAAACAGGTCAAGTGGGGGACTGGAGAAAAGGCTTTCAAAGGTGGAGATAGAAAAAGTAGATTTTATTTCATAAAATCGGAGTGTTTATATACACACTTTATTCGGAATTTATTTGCCTTTTTTTTTTTAAATACAATACTCGTATGGATGTTTGTTTAAAAATTTATTCTTAAATTTTATAATTAACAAAAAAAATATTTTAAAATGTAAATATTTTTTTATAAAAAATATATCTCTCTTATCTATATATGAAGAAGTGAAAGTCCTTATATGGCGACAAGTGGCTGCTTTTTACGTTGACATATGTCATTTTATTTATCAATTACTTGAATGCCCTTGTTTGGACAGACACACAAAAAAAAAGTGTAATACTACTTGGGAAGGGCAAGAAGGTCAATTTGGACGTCCCTTATATTTTTATGTGTTTTGACTTAAATACCTGGTTGTATTCACCTTTTTGGGAGTTGTGTACGTAATTTACCATCTGTGCTTTTTTTCTTGTCGTCCTCGCGGGATTTCTTCCAGAAAATCTGGTGAGACGTGAGTCATGTCTTCAACCCTCTGTGTATCCTTTTTTTGCTGAATTCAACACGTCTTCTCTTTACCCAAACATTTCAAGGATAATATCGTCATTTACATCTGATAGCTTTTTCCTTTCTCCAGAATTTCAGCACACACGAAACCGCAGGGTCTCTCTTCCATCTACCTAACCTTCTCAATTGCTCTAACATTCTTCTGCCAGACTGCAATTCGCCCTTTTCTACAATTCCACCATAGAGACTGACACAAAGGCGATGATTATTTTGATTTCTCTAAAATTCCATCGACATAGACCCCAGAACCGATGACGGTAGTTGAACTCAGCGGACCTTGCCCGTGAGCAGCGACAACCGGTGGATTTTGGCTGATCGCGGCAGCACGACAACAAGGTGCACGACCGCCGACTCGAATTTACGGAGGCGAAATCACAAATCAGGTGCTTGTAAATTTCCACTTCAATTTAATTTTTTTATCTTTTTTTTTTGTGTGTTTTTGGAATAGGACAAGTTTTCCTAACAAGTGGTGTTTCTAGGTCAAAACTCCTAGGTACTGTCGTTGGAGGAACTGGAGACCGCCTCCAGCAACGACGAGCCGACCCAACATTCAACTGCATCAAGCAGGGTTTGGTTCTCCACCTAAACTTTATTTGTCAGTACATGTTCACCTCTTGTATAACAAAAATGCCGTCGATTTGTTATTCAGAGTAGCTTGGCTTAATGGCGGAAACGATTTCATTATTTTATTTGTTTATTTATTTTCTTGTTTTCTGAAGGCATGTGCGGGGACTATTTCATCTGTTTCTCTCTGTTAATTTTTGCATTAACCACACTCTAAATAGCCCAGAGATGGAACGAGGGATGCCATGGCAAGTCTGGGTGCCTCGGTGGCCTGGGAGAGTGTCAGGTAGTTATTCATTTTCGAAGCTAATGGAATTGAGTTTTTGTGCATTTTCTTAATTTTCTTTGTCCTTTTTTTTTTCTTCTCAATTTCCAAGTTCACTCTTTTTTTGTTATGTGATACATTTTTTTTATGAGTTCAGGGAGGTGGTGTGCAGTAGAAGCTACTGAGATCGTAGTTTGTCGTCATTCGTGTTTCGGCCAGAGCTAGGTATTTTTACTGTTACTCATAGACCATTCAGTCATGCATTTATGGATTTCTGTGTTTTTTGTTCGAGTTATTTTTTTAGGAAACAAATTTGCTATTTGGGTAGCTTGGTTTTGATGAATTGAAGGTTTACTTTGGTTCAATAAGGAGTTTTGTTTGTTGTGTTATTTGAAATCAATAGATAGATTAAGTTGATATATCAAAATATAAACANTTTTTGTCCAAACTGACAGAGGGAGCTAATTGATTGAGCTCCGATTTCATGGTTGTTTATCATTTTAAAATTATATTATTTACATTGAAATGAAATATCATATAAAATAAAGGCTAACAAACCCCTTTTCTTTTTCGTAAAGATGAAAACGTGCACCGCAACCACAGCGGCACCGGAGAATGAGGTGTCGCCGATGAATGCGAGTGATTCTAAATGCGATGCAACTCCTGCTGCTTGGCGATGGATCCAGTGAGGTTGCAGATTACAGTACGGTATTTGCAGATCTGGGATACCTTTTTGCTAATATTTCTTAAGAGTTTTTTTGTTTTCATTTTATTTCTTTGTGATTCCAGTTGTTTTCTTAAGTAATTAGCCTCGGTTGCGCGGCTGCCCTGACCCTCATCTTCATCAGCGGCTCCCTCTTCCTCCACGACTCTCATCGAGCGCGGCTAACCGAACCGTGCCCTAGCGGTGCTCCGCGAGGTCCGTGGTGTGGACTTTGGCCACTGTCAGCATGGCGAATTTGGCCAGTAGCCCGTGGATGGACCTCCTGTCGGGGAAGCAAGCAACTGCCCCACCTAATGATGGTGGCGGCCATCCCCTTCTTCCAACAGCTGACTGGATGAACATCTTCATGTTCTGCGCACCCGTTCACCAAAAGATAATCAACAACATCCCCGCGTTTTAAATGACCAAATGATGGGTAATAATGATGACGGCGATCAAATGGAGCATAACTTGATATACCTCAATTCTGGACCCCAGACAAGCTCCAACTAACCAACTAACCAGGTTTCATTTTTTTTATTCATTAACTACACTCATTGGTCATGTTAAGAATTTTGTGCTTTTGTGATCTTGAAGATGCAACATCTTGTCTCTTATCTTGGAAGGAACAAGTGAATAATTTGGTTGACAACAATCATGGATCCATGAGTGTAGTTCCAGGTCGATACCTCAGAAGGGAACCAAATATTTAGAAAATCTCAATCGATCTTCCAGCAAGAAGAAGAATACAGTGTGGGTGTAAGTGAGCGAACGAGATATGTGTGGAGGATGTAAATATTTGGAGGTATGCGCTTAGGATTGTTC